CAAGCCTTCATGGCACTGTTTTCCTTCCAGACCCAAGCACTACAGTTCTCCCTCTCTCTTACTTTTTCTCCATCCTCCAAGGTCTGTGAGCTCTTTCCCTGGCTCCTCTGCTGTCTGCCGTTCATTTTTTCTCTCATCTCTTTCCAGATATCAGGATTTCCAAATCTTTTAGTTGGTTTCTTTTTCTGGCTATGGTCCTTTTTTGGGAGACTTTCCAATGTAGCCGCAGATTGGAAGATGATAATAATGAATTCATTAGTAGATCTTCTTTGATGTCATTTTGTGGGTGAACTCATTAATGTACGATAAAAACATAAAAGACCTGGGCTCCCGCATAGGATCGAGTTGTCCTAAGGCATCTGAATAATAATGATTAGTCAGATTAAATCTCAAAGGCTTCTCTGTGCTTCAAGAGTTCCAGTTTAGATGCTAGTGGTATGGGAACTTCCCATCCTGCAGTATCCCATCCCAGCCTGAGTCAGCAAGGTGTGACTCTCCCAACTCTCCGTGGTTTCCACTTTGATGACTCCAAGCTGTGAGGCCCATCCAGGTTGTTATAAGCACCCTGGAGGCAATGTTGGGAAAAAGGCCGAGGCTTTTAACACTTCTTCCCTTCCTTGGAGCTGGATTGTAAGAGGGATCTTTTGTCCTGGCTTGGATCTCAAGGCCTCATTTAGGGTTCTAGTCCTGTAGTACTAATGGGGAGAATTCTCTCTGAACTACTCAGGAAAGTGACAACACCATGCTTAGCACTTGGCAAGCTTTGTACGTGTATGAATTGAATGTACTTGTTGAGAAAGGTCATGAATAATTTTTGGCTAGTTGAAATGGAGCAAGGAGTAGAGCTCAGGTCTTTCTTCACACTATGAGATCTCCTAGCCAGCTCACATCTGTGGCCACTTACTCTGCCCCTTTCACTATCTGTGTGAAACACTGGCCCTGCTCCTCTCCAAAGCCAGCTCTTCTGTGTTGGCCCTAGATCCCATTCTGTGTTGACCTAGGGCTTGTACCTGTTACCGATTCACTCTTCTCTGAACTATCAGTGTTTCTGTCCCACTAGACTTCCTATCAGCATAAGGCAGACTCAGTGTCTCCCATCTTCAAAAGAACGTCTTTGCTGTTTTCCCTTAGACTACCATGCTACTCTTCAATCCCCTCTGTAGCTAAATGCCTCTAAAGAATTGTCTGTATGCTCAGTATTTCTACTTCCTCCTCTCCAGTCGAACTCTCAAACCCACTTTAATCAGGATCACCACAAAAATAGCTCTTTTCAAGGTCACCCGTGACCTTTCTGCTGCCAGGTACAGTGGTCATTTCTCAGTCCTCATGGTATCCTACATGCAACATAGCAGGCAGAACTCTCCTCCCAGCCTTCTTTGCTGGACTCCTGGGTATCACTTTCTCTTGGATATCCTTCCTAGAGATCCAAGGCAGTATTTCACTGCCTTCTTTTGTCTTCTGGTGTGTAACTGATGAGGTGCTCAGGATAACTTCTTGAGCAACTTTCCTAGCTATACCTACTCCTTAAGGGATCTCATTTAGCCCCTGGTTTTAAACACCATTCACATATGGGTGACTATCTTAAAGTTTTGTTGCCAATTCCCACCCCTCCGCCAGACCCCAACTGCCTTCTCCATTACTCTATTATACGTACGTCAAACTTCGAACCGGTCATCTAAACACAACCAAAATGCTGCACCCTCCATGCTTTCAAGCCTGCTCAGTACTAGGTCTCCACCAGTGGTAAATGGCAACTCCTTTTTTTTCCCAGTGGCTCAGACCTTAACACTGAGAATCATCTTTACTTTTTCATACCACACATCCAGCCCATCACAGATCCTGTCACATCACCTTCACTTATATCTGGGATCTGGCCACTTCTTACTGCCTTCATTGCTACTACCCTATTTTAAGCCACCACTACATTTTGCCTGGACTAATATAACAACCTGCTAATTGGTCTCACACTTCTAGCCTCGCTTCCCCTTCAAACATAGCATCCAGAGTAATCTTTAGAAATCTGAAGTTAGATAATGCCATACTTGTACTCTAAACTTTGTACGGCTTGCCATGTTACTTTCTAAATAGGATTGAAAGTCATTAGTAGGGTTTACAAGGCCCTGTAAGATCTGGCTCCTACTACCTCTCTGGTTTGCATTCACATCTCTCTTCCCTTTGCTTACCCTAATCCAGCCAGAGTGGTTCTTAGCTATTCTTTGAACATAGCAAAGCCACGCCTGCTCACAGCTCTTGTACTCTGTCCTCTCTGCATTACTCATCTCCTAGGCTTCTCCCCAAATTTCACCTTCCCAAAAAAGCTTTCCCCAACTATTCCTTCTGCAATAACCTCTTTTGCTATCTCCTTACCAGGCTTCAATTTTCTTCCTAGCCATTGACACAACTCAACATATTTTTTACTTACTTGCTTCTGTGTCATAGATTGTGATCCCTGTTACTATGCAAATTTGATAATAATAGAGTCTCTGTGTATTTAGTCATCACTGTATCCCAAGTTCCCAGGAGAGTTTGTTACAGAGTAGATATTTAACAAATATACATTAAATGAATGGATTTGTCAAATGGCCTTATTGGGCTTCTAATCATTGGGTGAAGAGTCATTTTCAGAGAATTACCAAATTAATATAATAAAAAATAATGTGAGAAGAATGGTGAGGTGTACATGGAGATCATCAGGTGATGTGTTCCTTTATTACCAGTGACCATGGGATTCACAGATATTCTCAGTTTTCTCCTTGCTGTCAAATTGTTTGCTGAACTATATAGAGAAACAAACATCCACTTGTAACCTCTTTGGCCTGTCACTATCCTCTGAGACTCAGTGTGCTCATCTGCAAAATAGGCAGTTGGGGATATTGTTACTGCTCTCCTGTTTCATGGTCTACAAGATGCTAGAAAGAAGCAGTACAGTTAGAAGGATCAATGGTACATCCAGGCTCTGGAGCTTGACTGACTGTATTGGGATCCTGCCTCCATTTCTCACAAGCCATGTGATGCTGTTCTTCTCAGCTTCCTAATTTGTAAAGTGGGAATAATAAAACAATGCTACTACTAATGAAAAGATAATGTGAACATGTAACTCAAAGAGTGATTGAGAGGATTACATAAGATAGTGCATATAAAGTGTGTAGCATGTGGCTGGCATACAGTAACTTCACAATAAATGTTTGATGTAAAAACATAAAGTTCTGGGGGAATTACTACTAATGCATTCTCAGGGCAATAAATTAACCTAGAGTATTAGATGTTATGGGGGTCAGGGATGTAGCTCAGCAGTGCAGCACCTACCTAGTGAGCATGAGGCCCTGAGTTGATTGCTGACACCAAGAAAAAAAAAAAGGAAAAAGATGTGATAATGATATTGTGACTAGGTAGGGGAGAGCTTTTACTTTTACAAGACGCATGGTGAAGTACTTAAGATAAAACATCTTGGTGTCTGCTATTTTACAATAATCTAGTCTAATGTATTTATGTTTCTATCGATAAAGCAAGTGTGGTAAAATTTTAGCCATTGTTGAAGCAGTTGGATAGTATAGTGTATTTTACTATTCTTTCAACTTTTTGTATGTTTGGGAGATTTCACATAAAAGATTTCACATAAAAGTCTTTATAAAGTCTGAAGAAAAAAGGACTCTAGAAATAGTCTAGTGAAGTGTAACACTGATATTTTATAGAAAGTGGACTGTGAGCTCAGAAAGTGAGACATTTGTCCGGGATCAGACAGCTGGAGAAGGCTGGGGACACTCGTGTCCTCCAGTGCTGGCCTCTTCCCTTATGTGGGACTATTGCTGTTGATCTTTAGGTAGCAGCAGGACAGGAATACAACCATCTTCCCTCAAAGAGATTCAGGGATGCTATAGGTGGTGTGCAAAGGGCACCCGTTTTGGGGTTTGCTTTTAGCTTTTAAGCACATAAGCATTTCGTTGGGAGCTGTGATGTCAAAAGTGTGAAGGCAGCACTGGTCCAGACTGCCACCCTTGGAGAATAGACATAGTGTTTTGCATTCTGTGCCTGTGGGTTCTGAGCGTTGGTGGTCCAGATAAACTCTGGGACTGCAAAGGAGAGAGGGGAGAGTAAAGAGGAGGGGCCGAGGATGCGGCCAGAGAATAGCACAGAGAGACTGGCTTTCATTTTGGAGCTTCCTAACAGAAGGGTCCCCAGGGTAGGGCTGGGGATAAAGTGCAGCACATGTTTAAGGAAAGGAAACGATTATTCTCTGTGGTCTATAGCATCTTCCTCTAGCTAATGGGGTTCAAGGCACTGGAAAGGAGAAGGGAGAGGAGAGAACGCCCACAGAAGCCCGGGTGGTGGTTGGGAACGCGCAGAGATGAATCGGGATAGAAAAAATACGGAAGAGGAAGCCTGAAGTATGGAAGGGTGGGGGAAGGGTTAGAGCTGGGGTGTTGCGGGGGGAGGTAAGGTAGGGAGCACACCTGGAGGGGTGCCGCGAACGCGTTGGAGGTCCTCAGCCTCCGCAGACTGGAGAGCCTTTCTCCAGAAAATCCCCGACTCTCTCCTGCCGGTCTAGAATCCCCGGAGGCCGCGGCAGAGAGCGCAGAGCTCCTGGCGCGCTTCCTGGCGGGTAGGGCAGACTGGGAGGTGGGGCCTCGGGCGGGGCGGCAGCGGAGGAGCCGGGGCGGCGGGCGCGGAGTCTGGGGGCCCGGCTTCCCCCTCCCCGCCCGCCAAGGCGCTGGCCCCTCCTCCCCCAGCCGCCCTCTTCGCCGCCGCCGCAGCTGTCAAAGATAAACCGGGCCATTGCCTGCAGGAGCAACGGCAGCGAGCAATCGGGCCGTGAGGAGCCTCGGGCGCGGCCTCGCCTCGCCGGCCGTGCGCCCGCAGCCGCTCGGCGGGCAGCACCGCGCCTCTCCAGGACCCAGGCACCCGCTGGTCCCCTGCCAGCTGAGCCCGGGGCCGCGGCTCCCACATCAGCACCACGGACAGCTCCCCGGTCCCTCTGACCGCAGCCTTCCCACCCGCGCACCGAGTCAGCACCGCGGACAGCCCATTTTCCACCCTCCCTGCAGCCGAGGAGCGGCGGGAGCCCTCCGGAACATGGCAACCGAGGTAGGGCGAAGAGTGCCCGACAGCTACCGCGGGAGCAATCCCCGCTAGGGCTGGACGGGGCGGGAGAGGAGGCGGGGGCGGGGCAGAGATGGGGGTGGCTCCCCAGGTCCAGTCCGCAGGGAGGAAGGCTGGAGTGGCAGGGTGGAGGAGAGGGGCTTTTGGAGGGGTTCATCTTACCCGGGGATGTCAATCTTCCCCATCCCCACTTGAGCCCTGAAATGTGTACTTGTTGGCGCTAGCGCCAGGGTCGCTCCAGGGACCCAGGTTGGGGTTTCCCTTCCCTTAGACTGCAAGGTTTCCACTTCCCTAGAGGGTTAGAGCTGTCTGCACGCAAGTGTCATGGAAGGGAAGGCGGGCGCTGCTGTTGCTATGCGGTGCAGTTATCCCGCTTCTGAACCCATAGCGTGGCTAAGGGAAGGCAGACCTGCCCTACATCTGCATTTCCTTTGGAGGAGGGAGGGGACAAAGACATCCTCATGCCCAGAACCCAAATGGTTGGTTTTAATAAGCTTTCTGCACTAACCCCCACTTTTGCAAATCACCCTTTCTTGCCCCTCCCTCCTTGGAGTCGATTATCTCAGGGTGTCCACATTTGCCCTTGTCTGATGGGGGTGCTATCTTCTTCATGGTGTGCCTAGTTCACCAAAGGACAGAATTTCTGCCCTTTCTTGCCCCTCCCTCCTTGGAGTCGATTATCTCAGGGTGTCCACATTTGCCCTTGTCTGATGGGGGTGCTATCTTCTTCATGGTGTGCCTAGTTCACCAAAGGACAGAATTTCTGTGCAATGCTTAAGAGACCAGGCAATCCCCGCACCACCCTGCTGTGTGCCACCTGGGGTTACCTCTGTCCCCCTCATTTTGTGCAGGAGATGGGAGCTTTCTATGTGCCCACTCTATAAGTGGTAACACTGATACATGGAGAAAGGGAGGACTGATTTGATCCTCAAACAGTGTGTCAGCAGCAGAGCGGGAAGTTTCTTCCTTTGAATTTTTGAGTGGAACCCAGCACAACAGGGTCTCCTGGTTCTGATGTTGACTTCTTTTGTGGTGTCTGCTCATTTCCATCCCAGCTGGAACACAGCCAGGAGGAGAGCAGAGGCCTTTGAATGGTTCTATGCAGTGCCTCTGGGCATCCTGGTGAGCAGCATGACATCAATACCAAGTGTTATTGTTGTTATTCCACTGAAGTCTCCTCCACAGTAAAAGGTGCTGTTGCTTGGCATTGTTCAGCTTTTTGACAAGGCACAAGTTAGCTAGGAAGGACTCTTGCCCTCCCAAGACCCAGCATGGGGACAAGCCTTGGGCAGATCTTAAGAGTTTGGTATTTAGAGTTTAACAGGGCATGGTGCTCAGGAAATGCCACAGATTCTGAGAAGAGTAGGAAGAGTGAGGGGGAAATGGCCAAGGAGCTGGTCACTATCCAGATAGAGCTGCCAGACTGCAGCAGAGACTGCTGGTTTTGGGCACACAGGGGAGCTTCAGCCACATGTGCATAGCTAGGCCAGCAGGATGGGCAGACAGGGCCCCTGCCGGTGTGATGTGCCTGGACTGATTCCAACAGGCCCATCCTTCCCAGCATCTTTCCCTCTTAAGTCTTTTGTGGCCCACAGATTCCAGCCATCAGGTTCACACTGCTAGGCTGAGGCCACGCTTCCAGGAGGCTGATGTCAGGCTTGCCTGGCTCTCCCCTGGGGGAGGTTCTGCTCATAATACCTCTGTGAATATAGCACTTTCCTGTGTACAAAGCACTATCGCACACACAAACAACTTTGGGCCTTACAGCAATCCTGCGAAGTGGGAAGGGATGGTGTCATTACCTGCAATTAACAGATGAGACAACTGTGGCTCAGACGCTTGCCTAACCTTTGTGAGGGAGCCAAAGAAGGCATCATTGTCCCATTTTACATATGATGCAACTGGAATGCATTTAAGAAAACATGGCTAAAAAATGGCAGAGCCAGGACAGGAACTTCAGTCTTCTCACTCTGTGGCTATTTGTTATTGTAGCATGCAGGGTTAGTGTATTAAATGAGCCATTGTGGTGCCTAAGAGAGAGGACAGTGCTGGGGGTCCTGACAGGACACTGTGTTGGGGGCAGGGATGCAAAGAAGATCAGGAAGCGCTGGAATGTGACAACTCAGGCCCCCTACTGGCCTGGCTGGGTCAGCTTGAAGGTAGAAGGACCCAAGAATGTCCAGGAGGGCCAGGCAGCTGAGGAAAACATCTCCCACTTGACAGTTTGGCCTCAGGTGGGCTCTGATGGCCATGTTGAGGGACAGAGCCACGGCTTTGCCATGGCACAGGATGTGTGAAGTATCTGGGTTGGAGTGAGTCATTCTCCCCAGGCTGTTTTTACTATTAAGAATGAGTTGAGATTACCAGGAAAAACCTGTTGGAGAAAGAAAACTTCATTCTAACTTCCCGTAGTTGTTCCTTAGGATTCTAAAGAGGAAGTCCTCAGCTCCAGCAACAGGTGTAGTGAGAGAAGGAGAGAGAAGAGGGAGAGGCAGAGAGAACAAAAAGAGGGTGGGAGAGATAAGAGGGAGGGAGAAAAGTTTCTCGATGGAAACTGGATCTTTCTTGCTCCCCAATTTCTGTTTAGAAGTTAGCACTGGGGGAGGGCTTGTGTGAGGAGCACAGAGGAGGGATGGAGCCTCCTGAGCGATACACTGACCTCATTTGAAGAGCTGTAATGAGCCTATTTCCTGAGCAGCAAACCTCTGTGAATGTGTGTCACCGGGGGTAGAGACTGTCCTGGGAAACAGTACCGGTGGACAAGGACAACTGGGAAGTGCCTGGCTGGGAGGGGCTTCTCCAAATGATAGAGTCTGGCTTCTCAGCGATTTTTAAAAGCACACAAGTAGCACTATCCAAGCAGAGTTTCTGGAGGTTTGATCGCTGAGGCATGAAATTAACAAGCATTAAAGAATGCATTGGGTCCAGGTGTAGGCTGAGAAAAAGGATGGCCCTGTGCTGGACTTTCCATCCTTTAGGCTTGACCTGGCTGCCTGTGACTCATGATCTGCACTCCTCCTCCACACCCCAGCCAGGGAGCACAGTGCCAGCATGTCAGCTGAGTCCCCTGATTCTTGAGTTGAGCCTCACCTGCAGCCTGTGGCATCAGATGGTTTCTAATGAGGATGATGTGGGCCAGGTGGGGCCTCCGGTTTCTCTTGGCCAGACCAGGACTGAGCACTCATTCGCTCCAGTGCTCGCTCCTCCCCAGCCCAGTCTGGCTGACCATCAGGTGTACAGGACTTGGCTGTGTGACTGGCAGTACCCACTCTTCAGGCAGCCTTCTCTTCCCTGTCAGGCTGCAGTTTGAAGAGTGGAGCTCTCAGATTTCACCACTGATTTTCTTCCTTATGAAATATCTCATGGTCTTGTCTTTGCTTAGCTGCCAGCAGGCTGGGAAATGGTGATGGGAGAGAGGGGCAGGGCTGAGGAGAGGGAGGAGTGGAAAGAAGATCAAGTCCCTGGGTCAGGATCTGTCCAGGGGAGACACAAAAGCTGTAGCCTCAAAGACAGGTGTGCGTATGTTTTGGGATCCTCTTCTAGCTTCACAGAGCACCATATAGCTCTGCTGAAACCCCCTTCCTACTTCCTGAAGGCTAAGTAGCAGGTGCGTGGCCAGAGCCCTTGCTCTAGTTCTCATTCAAGGCCCCCTGATGTGGGATTCTTTGTCTCTACCTTGGCAGCTTTAAAAATGAGTCTGGTCCACAGGTGAGTCTTATTTGGCCTGCCTAATGCTTATAAATTTAAAACATGTTTATCAGATATATTAAAAATCAGGATATTAAATGATAAAATGTCTGGATTTCTCCCTTTCCTTGTAAACTCAATGTGGGTGCACACTCTCACAAGACACTGATCAACTGCCTCCTTGTGGTGGGACACAAGTTCTCTAATTAGCCATAGGCCCCAGCTGGCCCACTTAGTGCTTAGCCCCTGGAAACATCTGTGTTCACAATGCTTGATAAGACCAGAATATCAGAGTAGGGGTGGGTGAAGGGCTTTAGTGATTGTGGAGTTTGTCTTAGTTACTTTTCTCATTGCTAACACCAAATATCCAACACCCACAAGTTAGGGGAGGAAAGGTTTATTTAGCTTACAGTTTGTAAAGGTTTCAGTCTATAATCAGTTGGCTCCAAGGCAGGGTGGCTTGGCGTCGCAGAGGAGAACTAGTTCATGCCAAGCAGAAAGCAGCAAAAGCAAGCAAGCAAGCTCTTTCTGTCCCTTATATTGCATCTAGGCTACTGGGATTAGGGTGGTGCCAAACAAGTCAGTGGACTGATTTAGTAATCACACATGCTTAGTCCCAGCATCACACACTCTAGATTCAGCCGCCTCTGAAAAAGCTCCACCTATGACCACAGGAGGCTTTGGGGGGACATCTAGACCTAAACCATAACAGAATTCTCACATCTCAGTTCCAAGTTGTGAAAATAGAGGCCTATAGAAGGGCAGATTTTCCCAGGGTTATGTGGTCCCAGGGTCAGGGTTGATGCTTTCCCCTTTCTGATCAGGGCCTTTTGGTACTTCACAGGTGAACCACCATGGATAGAAAGAGCCAGGAGGGCCTGCTTTGCCTTAAATCCTATTCTTCATCGACTATACATGTGTCCCACATAGGTCTCAGACACTGAGGCCCTGTCATATAAAATGTGTCTGATCTCATCTTCTACCAGCTCCTAAGGACCTCACATACACTCTCCAAACTCTAGTCACCCAGATCCGGGATAGTACCCTAAGGCTCAGGATACCGTTGGATGGGAATGGGTGTTGACCTCTCTCATTCTAGCTATTTGAGACCACATGGGTCAAAACTGAGAGGAAATGGCACTGCATTATGTAAGCAGCACCCTAAGGTCTTAATGATAATAGACAGATTATTTTCTGCTCAGTGAAGTGTCAGACTAAGTGGATGTGTCTCCAGGGAGGATCCAGCTTTTTCTAATCTGTGGTTCCACCACCTTCAACACATGTTCCACTGATTTCTGTGGAAGGGAGAAGAGCAAGGAGGAGGGTCAAGTCTCTATGAGTCAACCTGCACATGACATTTATCACTTCCACTCAGTCATAGGACCACTGCTAACTGTGTGGGAGCTTGGGAATTTAGCTGTGTGCTTAAAAAAAATGGCCAGTCAGCAGTTGCTAGAGACACACTCTCATGGGAGGTAACACACACACATGCGTATGTGTGTATACAGGTGTGTCTGCAGGTGAGTATTCAGGTTCAAACAAAGGAGGGGACTGAGGGAAGGAAGCTGAATCCATTTAATGGTGGAAGCAGTGTTTTTTCCCTTTCCTTTTGATCACTTTTCTCTGTTTAGGTCTAATTTAGTTTTCCCTGAACTACTACCAAGGGAATCATCCCTTCACCTGGCCTCTTACCCCAGGCTCACCCACTTCCCACAAAACTGCCAGAGCGATCCTTCTAGAGCTAGGGGAATCCATGACTGACTCTTGTTAGTTGGTTTTAGAAGGGAGAAGAGGGACATAGCTCTTTCCTTTTCTTTGAAAAAATACATTATATTGAAACCATATCCAAAGCAAGTGGATATACTAATGGTTAACTTACTTATATTACCGAAGCATTTTTATTTTTCAAAGTTATAGGATCACAGGACACATCACAGGTATGTCATCAGCAAAAACCTTACTTTGAGGAATCAAGGACTATTAAGACTAGAGGAGTGTTTATTATTGAATTCAGTCCCAATACTTGGGATCGCCTCTCTTACACAGAGCAGGGTTCATCTGGATTTAGAAAAGTCTCACATAGTGCTCTGATTTCCACCTTTTCAGGACCTTGATGTCCCAATTATGTGCTTTCTACCTTATTGACAATCTTTCTCCCTTTGTTCTTTCTTCAAGCTTTTAAGCATCTCCCATCTTAAACCCTCCCTGTCAGTAAAAACCTGTCCAACTTTGTGATCTCACCTGCTCCTCCCTTTCACTACTCATTTCCCACTGCTTTTATCCACTGGGCAAACCAGCTCCAGCCTTGCTGAAATCTGCCTTTGGCCACTGGAGTAGATCAGCTCTGCCGTCTTCATTGCTCTGCCGGTGCCTCTCTGTAGGTCTGGTTGCCTTTTCCTCGCTCTTTTGACTCTCTGCCTGTGTTCTACCTCTGGTAACACCAGCCTTCCTTTCTGTCTCAATATAGGCTTTAGAAGCCTTTTTTGGAGTAAGCCTTCCTGAGCACATGTTATTGCTTTACACCATTCATCACAGTCTAATTCATTATATATTTACTTGTGTTCCTCCCTGAAGCGCTCAGACTGTCTTTTTCTTAGCATTCCCAGAGCCTTGCACTAGAAGGGACTCAATAAATGAAAACTAAGTGACTGAACAGACTCAGCTTGATTACCCAATATTAACTGGATGCTTGTTCACTCTGCCTGCAGGGCTTGGTCTCCACACAGGCCTAGCATTGGGCATTTTTCACCCAGTGGGATACTTGTTTCCAATGTGGATGACTGGAGAGGTGGAAGAAGTCTTGTTCTATGGAACCGGACCCACTCCCCTCAAGTGCTAGAGTCTGTGTCAATGTCAGGTGTGTAGACAATGGACAGAAATAAGCCCACTCCTTCCTAGCAGGGAGGGCTAGTTCTTCAACCACTGGCCTCAGCTCATTTTACCCACAGATTTGGCCTGAACTTCAGTCTCCCTCTGGGTCCAGGGGCACAGCTGGGTCTTGTCTGTCCCACAGGCTTCTTGACTCCAGCCCTATCATCTGCTTCACTCACAAGGCCTGAGGCTTCAGTAGTATGAAGCTGTGAGTTCCACAAATACAAGGCTGGCCACCAGGTGTCTTGTTCCTCTTTTAAAATTTGCTTCTGGTGCTGTGGTTGGTTCCAGACCTCTCATTTGGCTCATGTTTGGTCCTGTTTTAGACTTTTTTTTTATCATTTGGGATAATATCAAGCAACTTTTGGGTAAACCCCTAGCCTGCTTCCCTATGGGATGTCCTGAGCATTGGCACATGGCTAGCATATTTGTTTGCTGGGAACGTCCCTGTCTTAGTGCTGCAAGGCCCATGTTCTAGGAAACGCCTCAGTATTGGGAAAACTGAGATGGATGATCACTCTTAGCATTTGCTAATATATTTTCTCAGGTCCACAATCTGCAGGAGCTCCGGCGAAGTGCCTCGCTGGCCACCAAGGTCTTTATCCAGAGAGACTACAGCGATGGGACTATCTGCCAGTTCCAGACCAAATTCCCCCCAGAGCTGGACAGCCGGGTAAGGCTGCCTTTTTATGAACTTGTGACCCATGGCTTTGGTGGAACTCAGGTTCTTACTGGAATGCATATTTTTCCAGAATCATGTAATACATAGTATCACAGGCCATAACTTGTTTGGCTACTTCAAACAAGAGAATAAAAAGTCCTTAGCATTATCTTGCTGCCTCCTCATAGAAAGTGTTCTAAAGAAACCTCAGAGATTTTCTAGTCCACCAGCTCTCAAATTTCAGTTGCATGAGAATCACCCAGAGAACTTGGTAAACAAATGTAAATTCCGAAGTCCTAGTGGGTCATATTATATGTCAGGCAAAGATGCTGACACAGTTGTTGGGCTGTGGTTCAGGAACCTCCATTGATCAGTAGCTGCTGGCTACACATTAGAATTTCCTGGGGAGCTGAAAAAAATCTTAGTGCCCAGGCTACTCCCCATACCCATTAAATCAGAATTTCTGGGAGCAGGGCCCAGGCATCAGCATTGTTCTAAATCTTAATTTTCCAATAATAAATTAGCAGTTTATTTTAATAATAATTTTTAAACTTTAATTTTTAATGAGGAATTTCCAGATGAAATGGAGTTGATTCATAGCCTACAATCCAAGAGTTATTGGTCTTCTAGCGCTAAGCTTGTTCTCACTCATTAGAGTCTCTGGGGGTCTTCAGAAAAATGTACCTTGCAGGTGTCCCATGGGGTAGGGTAAGGCAGTGGTGGTCTTCAGTGCTCTGGCTCACCCTTCTTCTTCCCAGGCTGAATAACAGTCAGAATCTCTTGAAGGTGAGACTTGCCATTGTAACCGTAAAAGCTGCTCAGGTGACTTTAGTGTACAGCCAGAGCTGAGTACCACTTATTTCTAAAACTGTGGCCAGTGCTGATAGTGTCAGCATCACTTGGGAGTTTGGTAGCAGGTCTCAAGGTCCACCTTGGAACTTGTGAGTCTGAATCCGCATTTGAACTAGATCCCTAGGTTATGCGTTAAAGCTTGAGAAGCCCTCAAGAAACTGACAGCCAGAAAGAGGAAGTAATTTCCTAAAGTTAGAAAGCACCAGAAGGACCCAGTATTTCACCTCTCTGTTTTTCCACACGACTCTGATGTTCTTACTGATGCCATTTTGTGCTCAGTGAGTACTGCGTAGACATAACTAGGTCTTTGTGATAAGAGTTGTAACAGGAAAAGCTTAGTGACCCAGAAGAAGAGCTGATGACCACTTTCCCCTCCTTTCTCCTGACTTGCACGAAGGGGAAATCCTAGTGATCCAGCTTCATCTGTTGGGTGGCAATAAAGCCAGTCAGCCAAGGGCTCTGCCCATGGCCTGTGCCCCTAGACTCAGGCACTCAGGTGCCTCGCAGGCCCCTTGAGAGTCATTAGCTGTTGAGTTTTGCTCCAGATTCTAGGGTTGTATGCAGCCTCTGTCCCAGGCTGTCTTACAGCTGACCTAGGATTGGAGGAGGACAGAGGGCAATTCCTATCCTTCCACTCAGTAGCTTAGGCAGATCTAGATGGGCTTAGGCAGATGGAACAAGGCCCGCCTCTGCTGGTCTGACCCCGAGTGGCTCTTGGAGAGCCTTGCAGGTTTCTTTCTCATCTCAGCATGTCTGTCCTTTCAAAGATGATGCTCAGTAGAGAGCCAGGGCTTGGGTTGTGGGCCAGATGAGCAGAATTTTCCTTCTCTATCCCTTCTACGTTGTGTGGATGGGGCGGGCAGAGGCTGGGACCCAAAGGCTCTCACTAGTCTTGGGGAGAAATTTCATCCTAGACGGGCACAGAGGTACCTAAATTGTGCAATGGGCAGTTCTGCCCTGTGAGGGTGAAGAGGAAGGGGCTACACTGCTTCAGACATGAGCTGGGAATGTGACCTTGCAGGTGGGTGGTTATGGTAAAAAGCACAGACTCTGGGGTCAGAGCTGTATAACCTTGGACAAGTTCACTTAGCATTCTCCAAACATTTATTGAGCACCTAACAGGTATTAGGCACTGGGGAGAGTGGAGTGAATTTATGGACTTTATTTTCTATTAGATGGTACAGAAAACAAAGCAAAAAGCCAAGCAAATAAACATGTAGTAGCTCAGGTGGTAACAAATTAGAAGGGGGTGTGTCAAGGGACTAGGGCACCCTGGGGAGACGTGCTCAGGCAAGGGAGACCTTTTGGATAAAGCAAGACCCAAGGGCAATAAAGGACGGGCCCTGGGGCTGTGTGGAAAAGTGCTGCAGGTGAGCACACAGGCACAGAGGACCTGAGACATTTTTAAAAAGCGAGGGATGAACGAAGAGGAGAGCAGAGACAGGCTCAGAGGGGCCACAGGGCCAGCCATGAGCGCCTGGAGGGCATAGTAGACTCCCTGGGTTTTACTTGGAGACAAGACTGGAAGCTCTCGATCAGATCTTGATATGACTCAACTTTAATGGGAAATTAGGTCAGGAGCAAGGGCAGGGAGGCCAGTGACAAGGTCAGAGATGGTGGTGGCTAGACCACAGAGCACAGGGTCCATGTGGGCTCCAGAAAACAGAGCAGTTCTCACCTGTAAAATGGGGTGACAGTAGTCCTTTCTGATAGAATTGTCATAAGGGTTCATTAAGACCCTGTAAAAGAATGCCTGTCACGTGGAATATGCTTAATCAGTAGTAGCTGTTATTATTACTATTATTGCTGCCGGCAGGACAGCTTCTCCATATGGGACGCAGCCCCACTTGTAACTGTTCACACTCTGGGGAGGCTAACCTTGGCTTGGCCTGTCCCTCTCCCTTCCAGATTGAGCGGCAGCTCTTTGAGGAGACTGTGAAGACCCTCAATGGCTTTTACGCCGAGGCTGAGAAGATCGGGGGCAGCTCCTATCTTGAGGGCTGCCTGGCTTGTGCGACGGCCTACTTCATCTTCCTCTGCATGGAGACCCACTATGAGAAGGTGGCACCACCCCAACTCCCTGCATCCCCTCCCTGGGCTTCCTGCTGCATGCTCACCCCCATGGGCCCCTGTTTCCACAGGTTCTGAAGAAGATCTCCCGCTACATCCAGGAGCAGAATGAGAAGATCTTTGCGCCTCGAGGCCTGTTGCTCACAGACCCCGTGGAGCGCGGGATGAGGGTTGTATCCTTCCTGGCTGTTTTGTGTGAGGGCACAGAGCTGAAGTCCCTTTGCTCCCTGATGAGGCTACCAGGAACTGGAGGCCATCCTAGGGACCTCTGCTTGGTGCTTCCCTAGGATTCTGACATGGCTGGTCATCAGTTTTCCTCTACCGTAGTTACTGGGCTAATTGTGAGCATCAGGGTTCGCACTATTGGGCTGCCTGTAATCAGAGTTTAAACACCAGATGCCATTTCGAGGGCTTTGAAAACATGAACTCATGTAACTCTCATCACACCCCTAAGAGGTAGGCAGTGCTTATTCATCTTTGTACATGAGGGCACTGGAGTTAGCACCAGACTCAAAGTCCTAGGTGGGTCAAGAGCCAGGATTTGAGCCCAGGCTCACTCTTAACTCCAAGGCTGTACCATCCCTTGAGATATAGAAATCCTCCAGTCTCCTATGATCCTCCTGTCATCTTCTGTGGTGGGTCCCATCATCCCCTGGTCACAGATGGGAAAAGGGAGGAGTAGGATCAGGAGGTCCCCCAGGCTTACAACCCTGGGGAAGGGGGTTGGTATGTTCTGCTGATTCCACCTGAAACATGGGGTTCAGGTAGGCACACATCACCCCTCACTCCAGGCAGCAGCAATGAGAATAGAATGGGTAAAAAATAAACTTATTCCTTTTTTTTTTTTTTAAATCAATTTTTATTCTTTTACTAGTACATGTCTGCAGTTACATTCCTCAAGGGGAGTTGATATATGTTTGCTGCAAAACTGAAGTAAAGAAAAAAACCAGAATCTCGCTTGATGTGTTACATACTTTATTTCATTTAATCTTCACAGCAGTCCAGAGATTCTATTATCCCCATTGTATAGATGTGATCATTGAGGTTTAAAACTTACATGACCTCACATGACTGGCCTAGCCTGTGAGTGAGCAAGCCAGCATTTGAATTCAGCACCCTGAAGTCCTCATGCTTCCCAACATATAAGACCCCCTCCAGGACCTAGGACAGGATATGGTCTACTGTGATCCTGGCTGTGCACCCAGGTCAGATTTGGGTCCTGTAAGTCTGGGTAACTGTCGGGTACCCAGGTATCCTTTATTGCCCTTGGGTCTTGCTTTATCCAAAAGGTCTGCCTTGCCTGAGCACATCTCCCCAGCGTGCCCTAGTCCCTTGACACACCCCCTTCTAATTTGTTACCACCTGAGCTACTACATGTTTATTTGCTTGGCTTTTTGTTTTGTTTTCCATACCATCTATAGAAAACAAAGTCCATGAGAGGACATGGCTTCGGGAATACAGGACTCCCCCGTTGCACTATCCAGGAAGAGCCCAAGTTTGGCTCCCTGCCCCCACCTGCTCTGTGGCATGTGGCTGAGGCTCTCCTTAACCAGCAGCCCAGATCGAGATCTCCATCTACGAGGACCGGTGCAGCAGCGGCAGTTCTAGCAGTGGCAGCAGTAGCGGCAGTGGCAGCAGCAGCGCCGGGGGTGGCGGGGCCGGGGCTCGGTGACTGGCCGAGAGTCCCTGCAGGGAGGGGTATGGCCGCAACGAGGGCCTCGCAGACCTGCGGCGGCTGCGCTACCAAAGCACCCGCTTCTGAGTCATTCTCTGGGTCCTGCCCCGCTTCCCTGAGCTGGGAGGGAGGGTGACACCCATACTCCCCCCCCCCCCCCCCCCCCCCAGGATCCCTACTTCCTGACTGGGGCCTTTCTTTCCCTGTGGGGCTGGTCAGTGTCACTTGGAGCCAGACCTTCCCAGGGCAGGCTGGGATGGGGAGAACACAGGGCAGCCTCTTTCTTGTGCGGCTTTCTTTCCTTCCCCGATACCCCGAAGAGGGCCTAGAGATTTCCCACCCCGCATGATTCCTCACCCCAAAGCCCATGTCCACCAGGACCCGCTGTTGCTCTCTGTGACTGTTTCCCAGTGTCACCTCTTTCTGGCCACCATGGGGCCCCTGCCTGTCTATGATCCTGCCTCTGAGGAACTGGAGGTTTGGGGAGATGAGTGCTGTGGTGGGGAGGAGTTCAGCTGGCCCTGCCCCCTCTAGATCTGTGTTTTTCCTGTCTTCCACCTGGAGCTGGAGGCCATCTCAGCCTGGCTAAGAAGCCGCAGACTCTGAGACTGTAGTCCACCAGGCACTGGTCGTGGGATGCACAGCTTGGGGCTTGGGGAGGTTCTGTGGGGGCCTGGAGCAAGTGCTTGCACAGAGATACAGCTGTGGGGAGTTTGAGCTTTCTGTACCAGAGCCAACGTTCGGATGTCAGAACCTGAGTGAGTGTGTGTGCGTGTCTGTGTGTTTATGTGTGAGTACATGAGCACGTACATATGTGAGTGTGCTTGTGTGCATAGGGCACAAATGTGTGAATGTGAATGCACGTGTGTGAATGCACCCATGTGAGTGTATGCATGTACGAGTATATTGTACGTGTCTCCGGATGTGCATGCATGCATGTTTATCTGAGTGAGTGCACATGGATACGAGCATGAGTGTGAATGTTCTCATGAAGACATGAATAAGAGCACTGTATGAGCGCTTGTATAAGTGCATGTGTGCCCAAGCGCACATGTGTGAATGTGAATGTGTGAGCGCATGAGTGCATGTGTCTGTGTGAAATGACTTGTGTGTCCCCTGGGTGTTGTACTGACTGCTTCTCTTTGAGTCCTGCTTTATCTCATTCCACGATGGTCTACAGCTTCTTGTCTGTGTGGGTCCAGCCTGACCCCGTAAGTCAGTGTCCCAGAGCCCCCTGCTCCTTGCCTGGGCTGTCAGCTTTGCTCTTCCTCCTGGTTTCTCTCCTGCCTTCTGATGCCCCTGTGCACATACTGGCAGAAGACAGATGGGGTCCTAGGAGAGCAGAGCCAACCTTTGGGTGGCTTTTGGTGCCCCTCTCCCAGCCCCACAATGGGACAGTGGGCTACAGACACTGCATATTCAGCCTGCCCAGGTCCCAGAGCTCACAGGCTGTGAAGTGAGGCCTTCTTGGACATTTAAAAGAGCCAGCAACTGCAGGGGTGAAGGCAGACTCTCTTTGCAAGGAAAGAGGGGATGCCCAGTCATCAGTACCCTGGTTCCTGAGGCCCTGAGGAGCTGGTGGGAAGGCAGCAGCCGGGGCCCAGTACCCTGAAGACGGGCAGGCAGCGGCTGCTACCTCAGCTGGCAGGAGGTGCCGGAAGTGGCTATGAAACACCAGCCCCTTCAGTAGCTTTGTGGAACCAAAGAGGAGCCTAGTTTTCCACTGGACTTTCCCATGGGGGATCAGGAGCCTGCCCAGAGAGCTGGAGAAGAGTGGGGAACCCCTGAGGCCTCAGGGAACCTGTGCTGCAGTGGGTCCTGGTGCAAGGATCCCCCAGAGAGCTGCAGCCCATTGGGGTCCACGGAGGCCCCTGACTCCCAGCTGTTGTCTGTGCCCACTTGGTCGTCTATGTCACTGGGTCTCATGTCTGACTTGTGCATCTCCCATGGGAGACATTTTTTTATTTCTTTTTCCAATAAAAGGACTTGCCCAACTTTAGCATCCATGCTGCTTTCTCTGCCCTCCCCTTGAGCAGGTGCGCAGCTGGCTGAGTGCTTACTTGAGGAGGACACAGTCACGGCGTGGGCATGGGAGACTCTGGCATCTTGAAGCCAATAGTTTAGTGGGGGAGGTAGGCAGTCCAGGTCCTCTAATCTGAATATTTTGGTGGGGGGGCGCTTGCAGCCTTGGGTCAGGGAAGCAGGTTCAGCTGAAAGTATGTGATTCATGAATTAGGTTATTCCCATTTCCCAAACTCTCAACCTAGGTTGAGACTTGTAAGGGGTTGGATCAGTACTAAAGACTAGACAGTAGGTGGGTGTTTGGAACCTAGCACAATTATGTCTTGGATTTTATAAAATGAAACATTTATTGAGCACCTGCTGTGTGCCACCATATGCTACAGATGGGGTGGGATTTAAAGGTAACCTGAATCTTCTCATAAAGGTGTAATGAGGCCCAGAGAGGGGAAATGGTTTATCTCAGGTCATGGATCTGTTTGATGAGTTTAGAACCAAGATTCCCCACCTAGTGCACACACTGACACCATGGGAATGAAACCCAGATAGGAAGTTGCCTGAAGTTGTGGGGAGGCTGGGGCCCGGGTCTGACAGGACAGGTATAGTCTGACCATAACAGGTCCGAGGATCAAGAGTCTGTTCCAGGCCAGATCTGACCAGTGTAGCAACAGCTTGGGTCTGTGGGGCGGGGAGTGGGGTCCTCTCTGGGTGGTGCTGAATGGGACTCTGAATGTGCTCAAGCTTCCTCTCACTGCCACTAAGGAACAGCCAGGCATTTACCTGAGCTGTGGGCAGCCTGGACCTCTACTTCTGTTCACACCTGGGCAGTGTGTGGGCTGGGGAGAGGGGCTGTTTTATGGTGTGCACAGGTCACTTCGTAGTGTTCTTTTGGGTAGGAAGTTTATTCTCCTGAGGCCAGACTTGAACCCCAGCTAAGCTGTTTTAGGAAAGAGGCCCTGCGGAGGGCTAAGGGTTTCCAAACTGGTAAAACTAGGAGTGCTGAGAGGCACTTTCAGGCAGTAGTAATAATAATGATGACAAACAACCGCTAACATTGATTTAGCACTTACTATGCGCCAGACACTAGGCTAAGGCTACATAATTCACCGTTCAATTCTCATAGCATCCCTCTATGGTGTGGATTATTATTATTCCCATTTTACAAATGAAGAGACCAAGGCACAGAGATGTTAAATTTCCCAAAGTCACAATTAAGAAGTGGCAGAGCTTCGCTTTAAATTTAGTCAGTTTGACTCCAGACTACAAGGAAGAAAATAAAGATATCTAGCTTCAGACACCCCTCAGCCATCCGAGGGCTAGGATCTGGCAGCCTCTCAGAGGACTTGGAGCTGTACCTGGGCTCCGAGACAGGGCTGGTACCTCCACACCCGAGGCATCATGAGTGTGTGGTACACTGTGCTCACAGGCAGGCATGCGGGACCCACAGGGACAGCCTGGCAAAGGGCAGTGGAAAGACCCTTCTCTGCAGGCCAGGCGAGGTGTGTGGCTTCTCTCTGCTGGCCTCGTTTTGGGGGCAGTTGTTTCCAGCTGGTTCTGGTTGCAGCCATGTCCCTGCATCCCCCTTGCCAGCCAGAGACAGGCCCCATAAGGACTTGGGGAGCAGAAGAACTCTGCTCCTTTCTCAGCCAGGCTGCCCCCAAGTCCTCATCCTGCCCCATTCGGGGGTGTGGCCCACCTGCACGCCCACACAATTCTCCCTGCATGCACTCTCCGGCTTTCTTCCTTTGGCCAAAAGCAGGGGATGTGTGTGCCACCACGGGACTTATAGAAGCATGAGTGCCGCTGAGTGGCAGAATCATGCACTGCATCCGGGAGTTAATAGCGGAGGCAGACAGAGCCACCTGGGAATTTCCCCCTCGACCCCCCAAACCAGCCCCTGCTGTCGCCATCTGCAAGGAGCTTTTCAGGCTTCTAGAGGCATGAGTGAGGGTGGAGTTGAGTGGTGGTGAATTTCTTCTCATGGCTAGCGCCTCTGAGCACCACTGACTTGGGAACCCCTGTCCTCCACACCGTATCTTTGGTTCACACGGGGCATCCTGCTCTGACTTTGGCCTCATTATTTCCCCAGGGAAGAGATAAAACAAATGCCACTCTAGGTCAGACCTGAATTTCAGCTCGAGCTTTATGACATGACATCGGTGCCTGCTGGAGACTCCTGGACCTGAGGTTTTCACCCTTTCCTGCAACTGTGAAAAACGGCCAATGCCTGATCCTATTCCTTGAGATTCTGATTTAATTGTCTTAGGACCCCACATAGTCTGGGCATCAGGATTTTGAAAAGCTTCCTTGGTGATTCTAATGTGAAGGCAAGGTGAAGAATCCCTGGTTTGGATAGAGCCAAGAGCCCAAGGGCCTTTTATAGGCCTCCGGAAACATGTGAGACCTGAATAAAACACCTCCTAGTTCCACAAAAGCAGCCAGATACAAAATGAGCAAAAACTGTGTGATCCCACATAAATGCAAAGAGAGACAAACCTGATCTATGTTGTGAGAACGAGGACTGCACGTCCCCTGGGCAGGGAGTGATGCATGGAAGGGGCCTGGGGATTCCTGGGAGCTCCTAATACCCTGGTTCTTGGTCAGAGTCCTGGAAACAGGGTGCTCACCTCCTGAGAATTCACTGCACTGTATGCTTAAGATCTGCGCATCACTCTGTACATGTGATATATATCAATAAAACTCACCAAGAAAGTTTATTGGCTCCTAAAAAGGAAAAGAGCACAAAACTGAAATTTATTTTTATTAAAGGTCTACAAGTGTAACACATTATATCAGTCAACTGAATTCAATTTAATGTGCGTATATATGTGCATACATATATATATATTTTTCACTATGGATATGGATAGAAAGTGTTCAATATGATCAAGGCGGGTCTCCAGAAACAAAGGTCCCTGGTGCCTAAGAAAATCTTAAAACAGTCCAAGTTCACACCAGGAGGTCTTAACCTGGATCCCCTGCACTTGTGTGCATGATCGGTGCCCATATCTGGGGGAGAGACTCCACAGCTGTGAGCAGATTGTCAAAGGGGTGTGTGACCCTTCCCCATAAGGGGTTAGGAACAACTGGTTTGGACGATTCAGTGAGAAACCAGTTGTGAACATGCCTGGCATGAAACAGGTGGGTGGCAATGTCAGTTTTCCTCTGCTTTCCGGGTCCAGCCTTCAGGAGTTTCCACATGATCTTCTCAGGTGACTTCTAGGAGCATTTACTCTCCTGGCAGCACCAGCGGAAGACTGGTTCACGCCCGTGCCTCTTCTTCCAAGAGGCTGTTCTCGGGGTCTGTCACTTCAGCATCTGCCGGGTGCAGGACTTCATATGCAGCATCCTGGAGCTGCACTGGGATTGTGTTTTGGATCAGGGAGGAAGGAAGAGGAGGAGGCAGAAATTCAAGGGAAGGGAATCAGAGGGCTGCTCCAGCCAGGAACTCCATAGCTTCCTTAATTTTCCTGAATCTCAGCTTTGTCACTTACAAAATGAGAGGATTATGGGATTGCCTGTTTGTAAATGATAATGTGCTTTTCCAATGTAAGATATTATTGTTATGTGGAAGTGGCACGAGGACCTCATTATACAGTGGCCTCATGATACAGATTCATAGCAGGTTTCAGATTCTTGTATGGAGCAGATTTATCCAAGGGTTCACTGATTCCCTAATATACACCAGTAACATTGATGTACATTATTATTCCATTTAGTTCTCTAACACTCTGGTGGGTGGCTATATTCGAAATCTGATTTTATAGTTGAAGAAATTAATGTTCCAGATTGTTGGGTAGCTTGGCAAAGGCCCACAGCTGATAAGTGTCAGAACAAAGACGTGAACCTCAGTCTCTGATTCCAGATCCTGCTTCATTCTGCCACAGTATGTCACAGTCAGATGCAAGATAGCATTCATTGATTCATAAAGACAGATTCCAGACCCAGGGTGAAACACGTGTGCGAGAGCAGACACAGAAAAATTAGTTTTGCAAAGGCACGGAGGTGCTCGTTACTTTGGAGTAATTCACATTATTGATTTCTGTAATGGAAAAGTGATTGGGGACCAGCTACCACCTGAGAGCAGAGCTGAGCGTGGCCCTGGAAGAGGAAACATTACACACCACTTACAAGGCCTCAGATATGCTGAGGGCGGGGCTCTTTTCTCTCCCACCCCCAGTTAATTGGCAAGCTCTTTGAAGAGGGGTCTTGTCTTACTCATTTCTACTTCCTCCTCTCCACCCCAGTGCCCGTCACGGGACCTCACCCTTGGCAGGTGTGCAGCTGGTGCAGCCCATCACAGGTGGGTAAGAAGAGGGAGAATAGCCCACGTGTAACCCACACACCTGGAGCAATGTGCCACTGAGAAGTAGTAGTACAGGCTGACGCAGACAGGTAGCAGTCACTGAGTGATGCAGTCTAACTGAAGTAGTCACTGTGTAACTCAAAGGGTAAAAGCAGTGACTGCAGGCTGTCCCTGCACTGGGAAGCAGCTCTCAGTATCGTCTCCCTGGCTGTGTTCTTGTGGCTCTGCTCTGACTTCCTGGGAGAGGAAAAAGGAAGCAAACATCCTGACACAGCCTCTGCCTGGCTCCCTAAATAAACAAGCGTAAATCCTTCTGAGACTTAGTGCTTTGTCTAGAAGTCTGGGCCTGGGGCTCTAGGAGGTGAAACATCAAGGGTGGGTGGGTGGATGGATGGATGGATAGATGGATGGATGTTTGGATGGGTGGATGGATGGATAAGTGGATAGGCACAGGGACCATGGCTGTGTGGAGATGCCTGATGGATCTGAGGCTGCTTGTCTTGAGATGGATGCTTGCAGACCCTGGAGAGGCAGATGAATGGACGGGTACTGATCGGTCCTGTGCTTCTGTGCAGTTCTAAATACAGAGCTGGACTCTTCAAAGGGAAGATGCTGTGTTCATCCAGTCCCCAAAAGAACTCTGAGTGATGGATGTGTCTTGTTGGGAAGGATTCTTATAGGTCTAGTATCACCCCAGTTAATGACTTATAGATTGTTGTAAAATCAGTCACTGCCAGAAGTGAACCAGGAGGTTGAAGGGCCGAGAAGAGATTTTTATAATAATCTCTGCATTTCATCAAACCATGCACTGGTCAGCATGCCTTACATGCTTTATCTCACCACCATTCCCTCACCAGGGAGCCTCACCACCATTCCCTAAGGTAGTTATTACTGGCTACATTTTGTGGCTGAAGAAACTGAGGCTCAGAGAGGAAATAACCTGCTGGGCCACTTCAGAGAGCAGGTCTTAGATTCAAATCTGAGTCTTTTCTAGAGTTTCTGGTAAAGACAAATTTTTCAGGATAGATGGAAAGAAGGGATGGAGGGCCACAGAAGTTTTGCCCCGGGTGTCTAAGAAAAAATTACGGAAGGAGGACTCTTTCACAGAGGGCTCAGGCATTGAGGCTTCCCAGTGATGGTGCCCTGGAGACAGTGCACTCGTGTCTGCCTTGAAGGCGTAAATCTTGGAACTGCACACAGGGCGTACACCTGCCCTCAATGTGTGCCTCTCCCACAGTCCCTGTGAGCAGCTGGGGAACTGGGAGTCTCCTTCCCTAGAGCTCCACAGAGGGAGAAATGTTAGCCTGTGGACTAGGGTGCAACAGTGACTCAAGGGTAAGATTCTTTCATCGGCTCTGGGCTGGCTGTGCAGATGGAGTTATCTTTTGGGAATTACTGACTCCAGCCTGCTTTCCTTCTCTCAGGGAGAGAAGGGGGTGGGACTTCCTGGAGAGAGAGGTCACAGAGTCTCCTTGTGCCTCAGCTTTACCACTGGAGCTCCTGACCCTGCTTCCCTCTTAGCTGCTCAGGTGCCTCCTACACTCCATCCCTGCATTCAAAGCTTAGTCCCAGTTATGTTCCAAGGCTTATGCACAGCTCTTCGTTTACTTGGTGGACACAAGCCCTGGCTCAGTTTTTATGTCAGCAAAATGTGAAGAATCAGCACTGCTCCCCTTATTCCTGGAATTGTTCACGTGCTTGTGCTTCTGAAATGTTTGGAGGAGACTCTCTCTCATTCTCTCTCTCTCTCTCTCTCTCTCTCTCTCTCTCTTTCTGTGGTGCTGGGGTGAGCTCCTTGGAGGAGCAGCAGGCAGAGTAGCAGGGAGGAGGCCCAGCAGTGGGGCAGATTCACGTGTTCCTCAGGAAAATCACAATGCCTCTTTGGGCCTTAGCTGCCTCTAGATTTAATGCTCTAGGATTTTGAGAACCTTGAGTGCCGAATCTCCAGGCCAGGTCACTGGTCCAGTGACCTCTGCTCTGTGTAGCCTGGTTGATCCTTGGCCCACTCTTCTCTGGGTGCCTCATTTTATGACTGTTCTCTCTGGGATCTCTTAGCAGTCTCTCTAAACACTAAGTTGAACATGGCATAGCCCAGGTCTGGCAGGTAGGCTCTGCTCCATTATGACCACTGGGGTCCTGGGGTCTCTTTCCTGCTAACTTGTCAGCACCTTATGGGTGGCCAGGGTCCTCTATGTCTGTCCTCTGTGGATTCAAGTGTCCTGGGCGGCACATGCTGGGAAGCTCAGGAGGTTTGGCAGTGAACAGGTTCAGGCTCCATAGTGAACTTTGCTACTTCATGATAATAATATTTCTAGTTTCTGGGGGATGCTTACTCTGTGCTGGGCACTGTTTTGTTTCATACAGTAACTGCAAGGTACCAGTTATAGTTAACTCTGTCAAACTCAATAAGTAATTCTGTGAGGCTTCATCCTCACTTAACAGATGAGTAACTGAGGCCTGGGGCACCTCACCTACTTTAAGTCTTTGCACACATGCTTCTTTTTCAGGGAGGCTCACTCTGACCCACCCTATTTTAAATGGGTGTGCCTCCATCTGGCACTCCCACCTGGCCTTAATGCCACCTCCAGTGCTTGACATCTTTATCATACTATATAATTATTGTTTAGACCCTGCCATATGTCACTGGGCAGGAATCTTTGTCAATATTGTTCATAGGTGTATATGTCCAACCACTAGAACAATTCCCTGCCCACATTTGAATGAACAGCTGGTTAAATAATGTTCCCAGTTGTCAGTCACCTGGAGAATGCACAGCATAAGGCTTCAGAACTCGGGCAGTGGAGCTAAACAGTTTTGAGTTTGAATTACAGTGTTTGCCAGTTTAGCTAGCTGTGACCTTGGGTAACATTCTTTCTGAGGCTTAGTTTCTCTAGTAATAAGACTAATAACCTTTGTCTTGTAGGATGGGTGAGAGGGTTAAGGGAGACATGTATGTAAAGTTTTTGGCATATGGTAGGCATTCCATAAATGTTAGCTCCTTTCCCCAAGGATATCTTTTTCTTTTCTTGCTTTTCATTTTCCTCTGATGTCCTACCCTTTGACCACTTCACTGTTCAATTGAAGTTCCTTTAGAGAACAGAGCCACTGAAGGAAGAGGTTGGCATTATCTTTGGTGTTAACCAGCCCAAGCTCTCCTGCCCTCTGTCTTCCTCCTTCTAGGAAGTGCCTGTTGCTAAGAGACGCAGCATCAATCTCTGGCAGGTTCCTGGCCTCATGTCTGGGGTTCTGGTCACACAAAAGGAGCAAGAAGAAGGGTGATACAGGGGAGGGAGATGAACGGAGGGTCTTGGCTTGCCTCCTGGGCTGGAGTCTGGGTGGAGGGATTGGTGTGGAATCTTTGGAAAAGCTCAGCTGGCTCTCTGTTTCCACGTGGCTCTTGGAGATTAGAGTGGAGCTTTTGCTTGAGATGGAGTTCTGGGACACCAGTCTGGCTGTAATCCCCAGACCCTGGGAGGGGGCCATAGCAGCCAGAGTGACTTATAATCAAACTCTTGGCCCTCAGAATGGCACCTTCCCAGAGCAGGGCTGGCAACTGTGTACATGCTGAAAGTGGGCAGCGGATGATTCACTATTCTGCCCCAAAGATGCCAGCCATGCTCCCCAGCGAGGGTGTTCTTCTCACCAGTAAGCCCACCTCTTCTTGCAGGATTGGACATGACCTGCGGGAGGATGGGCTGCATTCCCTTGTCTTCCAGGGACTCCATTTCTCCCTTCCTGCCCCAGTCCATCACTAAGGGCAGCATGAGATTGTAGCTTTTGGGTAAACCTGTTGGCCACCCAAATGAAGAGGGCATGAGTGGAACCCAGTCCTGCCTTTGTCCCAGCTGTTGTGACCCTGACATCACTTAGTTTATCTGTGAAGCTGGGATAATTATAGTGCTTTCCTCTTGGGATTGTTGCGAGGATTAAGCGAGTTGGTTCTTGTAAAGAGTTTAGATCCGACCCAGACATACCAAGCTCACTCACAGTAAGCTATTATCGTCATTTCCAGGGGTACATTCAAGGGAAGAGGCTCTATTCTTGGACAGAATGAAAGTGGTACTGTTGCAACTGTTACTGTTTGGCTTTTCTTGAAAATGGGAAGTCTGGCAACACAGGCCCATGGCCCCACTCAGGGGGAGTGGGTTGTGGCCTCTCCATTTGCACCCTCCCTCCCCAGCCCATTTCATTGCCATCTGCCCCGGAAGGCTTCTGTTATTTTTGTTACATCTTCATCTCCAGCACAACTCAACAAAGATGTCAGGAGTCTAAGTGGGGCTATGGGACCAAGAAAATATGCACCGTGTGCTCAGAAGGGCACAGCAAGGGTTTGGACTCCCTGGGTCTCAGAGGAGGAATTTGAGGAAAGAGGGGCAGAGGAATCCCGGGCTTGGGTAGCCAGAGTGCAGCTTGGTACTCACAAATCTGTGTGCTGCTAAAGCAGAGACAGGTAAATGTACTGCACTGGAGACACCTGGTTTCCTAGCTCACTGAAGGGGTCCTGTTTTTGGGGGAGCAGAAAAGGTTACTTCAGTACCTCCCTGTCCTCTGTGTATTTTAGCTTCATACTTTTCCCCACACAAGCACCTCTGGGGTACAGACTTGACCTCTTCATTGGAGGGAGCTTGTCATCTTCATGGGAGGGACTGAGAGTTGTCACACAGGAGGTTCTCAATAATGCTTGCTCAGTGAACATGTGGATGAATGAATGGGTAAAGAGAGCTTGCTTCCTGGTGCAGGAACCCAAGAATTTAGCTAGACTTTTCAGAAAGTCTCTTGCTGTCCCTCTCCTGTCCCTATACTTAGCTCCTCCATCTGGTTGAAGGCCAGGCAATCTGTGGACAGCAACCGTGTTTTTTTTGCTTAACACTGTGTACCCGGACCCCAGCTCAGTCCCTGGCCCACAGCAGGTGTCCAGCCAATATTTGTTGAATGAATGAATGAATGGATCAAATGGAAAGCCTTTCTACTGGAGTGTGGGTGCTGCAGTTGTGTTCTAAATGGCTGGGGCCTTGAATTCCTCTTTGCTGTGCACCTGACCCTTCCCACCAATGGAATTCAACGTTCAGGAGTGCAAGGCCTCCTCTGAGGTCCAGTGTCAGCCCAAAGATCCTGATGTGCCTTTTAGGCTTCTCACCAATTGTTCTGCTCCTTATTTCTCCTGCAGTCGTGTGTGGCCAGCTAATGGGCTCTGTTATCTTGTCATTCACCACCACATTTGGAACCGCTCCTCTGTGTGCTTTGGGCTTTGCTTATCTCATGATCTTAGATCCACTTGTTCATTTCTAACAAGGCAGCAGCTTCAAGAATGATCAGGGAACAGTGTGAGCCATGACAGAGCTGCCTGCTGCCCCTTGACAAGATGGCACCGTGGGAAAGGCTCCTGCCCTGGCTCAGAGACCAGCTGGCTCTGTGACCTTGGGCAGAATGACCTTGATCACTTCATCTCTCTGAGCCTCATCTCTCAGGCCTTTCCAGAGCTTTAATTTATGTCAATGCACGGGAATGGGCTTTCTAGAAGTAGAGTGATTTTTAGTTGGTATATGCTTCTCAGGGAAATTGTAGCTGTTTTCATTTTAAAACTTTTCATTGAAGCTGCCGTTCTAAGTGTAAAAACAGCACTAGCTACAAGAAATTCATATTTGTGATTTATTGGGAGTGTTATTATGATATCAGAAAAGGGTAGTTTTTTTGTTAAATATGATTTTAAAAGGCCTGCTGCATTCTTAAGTGTGATTTTATTATATCTTGGAGCAACTTTTTCCCCCATGAAGAATAGATTTGTGATTTATAATGTGCCTTCACTACCTGAGGCTGGTTGTGAGCATATTCTGTGGCATTACATCATCTCCAAAGAGTGCTCAGCCTACAGGAACTTCCAGGTTTCGAAGATACTGCAAAGGCTGAGTTGAAGAATCTTTCTAGAAATCAGGGTAGCCTGAGACTAGGCATGTCTATGTCCAGCCACACACTGAGGAATCTTAGAAAGGGAAGAGTCTACGGGCGCATGGTAAGGCACACCTGTAATCCAGACACCTGGGAGGCTGAGGCAGGAGGGTTGCTGTGAGTTCAAGGCTAGCCTGGCATATATAGTAAGTTCAAGGTCGTATGAACTACATATTGAGACTCTGCCTGAAAAAGCAAAGCAAAGCAAAAGCAAAGCAAAACGAAATAAAACAAAACACTCTTTGGGAAATATTAGCCCAATTCTCTCACCATGTAGACTAGAGAAAGTGAGTCCTGTAGTGGAGATGTGACATCCCCCAAGTAAAAGGCCCCATGTCTACCCCCTGCTCGTTCCACACCCCTTCCCGGTCCAAACTCTTCCCCAACTCACTGTTCATGCCTGGGAGTGGCGCTTTCGTTGTATCATGACTGGCCTTCCAAGCACCTCCTGGTGGGAGGCCTGCTGCTAATCCAGCATTCCAACCAACATCTACTTGCCCAGACACATTTTTTCCCCTACCAGCTAGGTGCTGATATCCAGTAGAGAGTTTATTGGCATATTTCTCCAGAAAAGAGGCTGGAAGACTTAGCAAATTCAAACTTTAACATTTTTATCAAAAGTCTCCCAGGGCCACCCTTTGTACTTCCATCATCACCATCAACCCCAAAGAGGCTTTTGCTACCACAAGAATTCAGGGCACACAAAGCAGCAACTGCACAGGCCAAAGCAGCAGGCACGTGATACATTATCAAGTCAACCAAGCGAGCAGCCACCTGGGAGCCCTGTTTGTTAAGAGCGAAATAAGAAGTTCCCAAGATACTGGAAGATACAGAAGAGACAGGACTATCTTGATTCTTCTGAAGGAGGGAGGGAGGTGGGATGGGGACAACGGAGACTTTCCTTGTTTTCTCAGAAAACATGCAAAGAGAGGCTTCACAAACAACAGTGGTTGTATCAGTATCTCACAAACTTTCTTTTTTAAAGATGGCCACCCCTGCTGTCCATTCAGAGGGAGGATGAGGCAAAGTCTACCGGGTGTACAGAAAGACAGGCAGCAGGAGAGAGATTTAGTTTTCCACAAAGCTTGTTAGTTTGTTTTGTTTTTTCCTTTATTGATGGGATTTAAAGTGCATATAACTGAAGGCAAAGTCCAAGGCCTAGAGAAAGATATGAGGCCCGAGAGAGAGGCTCAGAGATTCTAAAGGCAGCCGAAGAATACCCACCTAAAAAGGCCACTTGAGCTGCAAAAGGGTACGGCAGGGAGATGGAGGATAGGGGGGAGAGAAGGGGGGGAGGAAAGGGTGGGGAGGGAAGAGTTGGGGAGGGAGAAGACAAACACCAGTTCAGAATTTCAGCCAATGGTGACTCATGGTTCATCTCCAAGCTACGAAAACATGGGCTGACCTCAGGTGGGAACACGAGTTTTAGGAGATGTGAGAAGAGCAATAGTCTCAGGCCAGGACACAGCACCTGAGGCCATTCAGGTGGTGGCAGCAGTGGTGGGGCTTCTCCAAGCCTCTGTCATGGACTTCCTTAGAGACCCAACATGAATCTAAGGTGGCTCTGTCCATACAGAGAAGGCAGGGGCTGGGGATCTAGATCTGGGGCCCACCCAGGGCTCCCCAGTGCACGGCAACTTCCCCTTGCTACTGGACTGCGGCTGGGGCCCCACTCACCCACACAGGCTGTGCCATCCTCATTGGGCTCGTAGCCCCGACTGCACCTCTTGTTGGTTCTGCACCTGTAGCTTCCATAGGTGTTGACACACACGGGCTTGTCTCGAGGACACACGAATGGGAACTGGATGCACTCATTGGTGTCTGAAAGGTGGGGGGCGCACTCACCAGGGAGGTGTGGAGCGGGGATTGTAGCTCAGGCTCAGTATGCCCACCCACTCTATGACCTTGGGGATGTCCCTTGTCCTCACGGGGCATGTCCCTTTTCCTTACTTCAGTTCCCTTGTGTGGCTGCTTTTGTACTTGACCTCTACATTTGGGCAAGGGGCGCACTCAGGCTTGATCTTTTCTGTCCACCACAATTTCTCTAGGTGACCCCTTCATCCATGGATGACTGCAAACTTCAGCCATGACTTTTCCTCTGGGCTCCAGACTTACGAATCCAATCACCAATGACTTACTTGACATCTGGATGTCTGATACTACAGATCCTCAAACTTAACATGTTCAAAACAGAACTTTAGATTTCCCTCAGCCCTTATGCCTTTTCTATCCCATTCCCATCCTCCCTAGCTCAATCCGTGCCACCATCATCCACTCAGCTGCTCCAGCAGAAATTGGAATGATCCCTGAACTCTCCCTTCTTCTCATACCATCCGCATTCCCACGGCATGCCCTATTCACTCTACTCCCGCTGTACGCTGCTTCTCTGTCCACTTTGCTCGCTCATCTGCCACCACCCTACTCCCTGCCACCACGATCTCTTGCCTGGATTTCTGCAGTTGCCGCCTTACTGGCCTCCTGGCTTCCACTCTTCCCTCCAATCCAATCAGCAATTCAGCAGCCAGAGTGATCTTTCAAAAATGTGAATCGCATCAGGTCACTCTTGTGCTTAACTTCCAAGGGGCCTAAGAATAAAATCTAGACTCCTCCCTGTAGCCTCGAGCCCTTTCTGGAGATGGCCCTGCCTCCTTGTCATCTCAGGTGCAAATCCCTTTAGTGCACCAAGTCCTGTCCTTTCGAGAGCTCTCTGTCCCTGCTTTTCCATCTTCCAGGAATTCTCTCCTTCCAGCTCTTTCTGTAGCTGGATCTTTCTCCATCTTCAGGACTTGGCTGAGAGGTTCTCTCCATCCACAACAGTCTCCAGAGAGCTCCTGGCTTACAGGGTTCTTAAACTTTGTTGGCCAGTGGTATGGCCCCTTGTTTGGGGTGTGCCCGCCTCAGTGGAGTGAGCTTTCCTCAGGGAAGGGGTTGAGCTGTATCTCCAGCACCCAGGGTGTTATTTGGTACCACAGAGCGGCACATCTCTGGCTGCTGAATGATGAAAAGGAGCAGGACTGGCCTGGCTGGCTTAGAGAGACTTTTGGCATGCAGAGAAAACTGGGGTTTCTAAGAGCCTCACTGTCTAGCATGGAGACATAGAGAATGTTGGGAAGTCGCCTTTCCCCCCACTCCTGTAGCTGTGCCCTTCCTGGCAGGGCCTCCATGGAACTGCTGCCCCACTCTGTGCCTGTCCAGCTCCTCGTCACCCGTCAGGTCCCAGCTTCAACCTTGCTCACTCTACGCCACCTGCAAAGACCCTCCCTAGATGATTTAGGTGCCATCTTTGTGCTCCCAAGCTCTTGCCTCTGTCCATCCCAACCCTGACCCCCCTGTGAGGTCATAAGCTATTCACTTGTGGGCTTCTCCACTGGCCACAAGCTCCACAGCAGGAGGGCTGCGTCTGTCTGGCTCATCCCTAGATTTGGTCTAAGGAAGGAGTAACCCTGGGGCTGACCCCTCATGGCCCTGCCCTGAGAGGGAAGACTTTAGTTTGAAGGTCTTCTGGACATAGCCTCTAGACTGTCCTTCTCATCATTCCAGGGCCTTGGGAACTGTCAGCAGGTCACCCTCATGGAGCTGCCATTTGGCAGTATCACAGTGACCTGGCCCCCACTCCTGCACCAAGTTGCAGCCTCCCACCTGCACTGTGACCCACCACACACGGCTTTGCCCAGATGCCCCGAGCAACGTCCATGCTTGCCTGCCAGCCCTGTTGCTGGCTGCTCCCCTGGCTGGCCACAGCATACGGCTCGTCCACCTGCACCAGGGTGAAGCATGCCCCCCCCCCAGTCACCACGGACCTCAGTGTCCATGTGGTGGTGTGTCTCCTCTCCAGACTGTTCTCTCCATCTTCATGGCACGTAGGCACTGCCAAGTCCCTGCACTGCGGTGACTCAGCCTAAGTCACTGACATCACTTGGTGAGTCACATGTCTTGGCACCTGGAGCCTTGCAACAAACGGCATCTTCCTCTCCTTCCCTTTCAGCCCCTTGTCTGCACCCTAGACCTTGCTGTGGGTCTGGCTGCCATGCCTGAGAGAGATCCCAGCCCCTGCCCCAGCCCCTGGTGCCTTCAGGCAACTCACCCACGCAGTGGCCACTTTCCTGCTGTGAGAATCCTTGGCCGCACTGCAAAGTGGGCAGAAGCAGAGATACTGGTGAGTCAGGAAGGTCTCATCTCAGGTTCTCTCCTAGTCAGAGCCACAGAGCAGCTGCCACCCTGACCTCAGCATGAAGGGTGCTGTTAGCCTCAGGCCTGGGGGAAGCCCTCCCTCCCAGGACATTTTCCTTTGCACTGAGAATGTGGGGAGGGGAAACCAAGAGCATATAATTCAAACTCCTGCCCATTTCCTTGCACATGGGATCTGTGTGCCTGAGCAGAGATCAGTCCAGAGCTGCTTCCTCAAAGAGCCCCAAGAGGTCCAGCTACGGGGCCTGAGACCCACCCTTCAGGCAATAGGAGGCCCCCTTCAAAGACCTGGAAAGAATCTGGAGGGCAGCAGAGACTTAGGGTCAACCCTTAATCCTGCTCACAATTGGTTATGCAGCCTCAGTGGGGCTAGGGTGCCCTCCCTCTCCTAGCCTCAGTTTTCTGCCTCTGCAAAATGGGTGCAAAACAGTTATCTGACAATTCTCCAGGATTTCTACGAGAAGCAGAAAAGGTATGAGTGTGATGGTATTGTGCAAACTACAAATGGAGAAATCATTTTGAATCCTGCCCTTTACTAAGATTTCCATCATTCTCCAGGCCAAGTCTATAGGGGTTGTAGCCCATGGGGTTGTAGCTGATGCCCGCTTTTCTGGTTAAGAGGCCCAGACGCCTTGGCCCACCTCCAGTGGGGCTGGGTCTTGCAGTTTGTCCTCATCCCGGGGGTAAGGGATCTCCAGCACCGAATTCATCTCCCTGTTGGCCACGCTCCGGCTCACCATCTTGCCATCTGGCCATGTCACCTCCACACTGCTGGCTTCGTCTCTTCCTGTGGGAAGAAGGAGAGAGGTCAGTGGCAGAGGCGATAGGGGCTCTCAGCTGAAGTACGGACATTAATGTGTTCATTCACGTAATGGGACTGGTCATGGAGCACTGTTCTAAGGGATTGGGAAATTAATAAGACAGATTCAGGGCACATTCTCTTTACAGCGATGTTGCCCAGTAGAAATTTCTGCAGTGGTGGAAGTCTTCTGAATCTGTCCTGTCCACTACAGGAGTCACTAGCCTGTGGCTGTCGAGCACTTGGAGTGAATTAAATTCATTACATTGAAATAAACACAGATGGCCAGTCGCTACCATATAGGGCAGCACAGCTGTAGAACTTACATTCTAGCTAACAGTCCAGCCAGCATGAGGCTAAACCTGGGGAGACGTAGGTCTGGTGGTAAGCATGTTGGCTTTGGGGTTGTTATGGTTTGTTGTCTGCATGTCCCCCCAAATCCTCATGCAGTCATGGGGCGGGCTTCTAGAGTTTTGATTGTTCCATAGTCCAATGTTGGGATTATGGGTGTGAGTACTACATCTGCCCCTGGGGTGGGTAGTTTGCATACAGTGTAAGGAGGGAAAGAGGCTTGCTCTTCCAGCTACCACTCTTCCCTTTTTGCTCTTGTTGCTTTTGCTGATTTTCCACCTCCGTGAATTATTTGTTGCCCGTGCCATGTGCCACTCTGCCTTGGCACCAGCCGAGTATGGACTGAAACCTCCATGAACTGTAAGCTAAATAAACCTTTCCTTCCTTAATTCTAGGAGTCAGATATTTTGTCCCAGCAATGAGAGAAAAGTAACCAAGACAGAGATCCAGCATTCTAATCTTAGTTCTACCATTTACTGGGTATTTAGAAAGAACATGGTGGAAGGAGGTGGCTGGGAGACCCAGGGACGAATCCCATTATCTTCAGCTCATTCACTGTGTACTCCTGGGCATGCCTGTTTTATTTATATTAATGGAAATGTGCTGGGGGGTAGGCCCTCTTTTGTCACCAGAATGTCCTTGTTCTTATGGGGCTTCCATTCTCCATGTGGAAGACAAGCAAACATATGAACAAATAAATCATGTCAGATATTGACAAGGTCCATGGAGAAAACAAAAATAGAGTAACAGGGTAAAGAGGACTGGGTGGCTGTTGGGAGCCCTTCTATCTCGGGCGTCCAGCATAGGCTCTAGGGGAGGAAGCCTATGACCTGAGGTCTAAATAAAGATCTGAAAAAGATGGTGCAAAGGGCACTGAAGAATACCATTCCGTAGAGCCGAGATGTTTACAAAAGACAGGTGAAGCTGAGCCAATACTCACGGTTAATCTACGTGCACACAGCCTAAAAGCAATGTGCTACATCACTGGCAGAAAGCAGGTCAGGAAGATTTGTCAAGTGCAAAGGGAAACAGGCTGATCCCTGTGGCAAAGTCAGGCTAATGATGATGGCTTGGGGTGTGGAGGAGGGGGCTGGACCTCACCTGCAGGGAGAGGCAGAGTCCCTGGTCCAGTCACTGGGCATAGATGGAGGGAGCGTACAGCTACCACCTGATCACCCACCAGGGTGGGGTGGTGGACCCGGTCCTGGTGGGGTACTCAAATCCATGTACTCCTATAAACATCATTTCTGGGCTGAATAAACAACAGGTCACCCACATGCATGCACTACTATTTTTTCCTAATATACACAGAGATACTGTTAGAAAATGAATTACATTTAAAGTTCTGTTGAATTGATACTATCTTTTGGTTTCTACTATGCGCCAGTGGATGTGACATTGATAGCTGCTGGGGGGAAAGGGTTGTCCATGAGATATTTTGGTGTATAAAAGCGGTTCTAGTACTTAAAAAGAGACCAGGGTTGGAAACTCTAGAACACTTTAAGAGAATCTGGTGTAGACACCTGTGTACAGAGGCCAAACAGCATCACAGCATCGTCTTGGAGGGTAGGGCCCAGCGTTATCTTTTCCCCAGTCCCAGGATGTCATGGGCAACCTTGGCAGGCACATCATGCAGCTTCCCAGTGCTCCCTGTGTCTGGAGCACCTTGCTTCCCCCACTTCCCCCAGCCTCCAGAGAGTCCTGTTAGAACATTCTGCTGCTGCTGCTGCTGCTGCTGCACAGGCAGTGAATGAGGGCATGGACAGCTGCTGCCTCTGGGAGCCCAAGCAGGGGTGGCAGTTATGACGAGAGGTTCAGGGCAGGGACCGGTACTCAGCCCCGTTTCTCCCCATAGACACCCCTTCTTTCCAGTCCCAGCCTTCAAGATTCAGGATTTTCGCTTAATCGAACCAGGAAAGACTTTTCTCCTGTCCCTGCTCTCCTCTTGTCTATAACTCCAAGGGGTGGAAATGGAGGTGGGCAGGGTCAGACACAATTTTGTTTCCTTGTTTTGAACAACCTTAATGCGCAAGGATTTGGCATTTTTAGGGTGTACAGTGGCCCAAATAAGTGGCAGATGTAAAAAAGTAAACATCTTCAATTAAAGAAAAGGAGAAAAAAAAAAAAAAAAAACAAATGTTTCTCAGCTATACCAACAGAACAGCTACACGAATACATTTTCTAGCTTGACTGAAGTGCCACAAATAACTCTGCAGTCACGGAATATTCATAGACTACTGCAAATTTATAGCCTGCACTTGTGGTGGGGCTCCAAGTCCCGCTTCTTCTCTCCCTTCCTCCCTCTAGACCTAGCAGAGCTGACAAGCAGTATTAGGAGGATTGAGGCATACTCACGGGGACTCAGTTTCTTTGTCTGTAAGATGGGGGTGCTGCCTCAGAGCCCCAACACTCCTGGGAAGCATAATTCTTCCCTGAAGTATGAACACTGCCCCTCTGATTAATGAACACCCTTATCATCTTGTCACCATCAGCTCTTAGGGTGTCACCCTGCAGTCCCCAAAGGGCTTTCACTTGCTAACAATGGCGAAGACCTACAGTGTGTCCCAAACTGTATCAAGAGCTTTATGGTGGTGATGCGCTGAACCCTCACACCTCCGTAAGAGGGTGGGTATAAAATGAGTATGAGAGGAAGCTACTAATTTTATTATTTCCATTATTTGAGATGTGAGAAAGCTGAGACTCAGTGGGGAGAAGAGAACCGCCCACACTCAGCTGAGGTCTGCTTGATCCCGGCACCCATATTCTCGGGACTCTTGTTATACTGCCACCCCGAGCTAGGAAGTAGAGCAAGGGCAAGTAAACAGCAGAGAACTCAGAGACCAGACAGAACAAGGACAGCTGTGATAAAATGTCAGGAAGCCAACAGATAAAGGTCATCCTGTGCCCCCAAGACCCCCAGGCATGTGCAAAACCAAAAACACTTGACCCTGGCTTTCATAAACCTCATTTGCTTCGCAATTTTGACCACCGTCCTGTGGACTTTTGGATGCCATGGCATTTCCTCTGAAAATCTTTTATGGTCAAAAACTCCCCTTCTACCTGGGTATGCTGAGTCAGGTACCCTGCTCTTGACTGTTAGTCCCCAGCTTTAGATCTCCTGCACTGCCAGGTCCTTGAAAGACCCAGCTTCTGCCATTAAGAGGGCCGTGAGCTCTTCTCGCTGGCTTTAATAAACCTTACTCTTGCTACTCCTGCTGATTGTTCCTTTCAGTTCCTTGCTTGGGATACCAAGAACCTGGAAACAGCTCTCCTGACACCCTCCTCTGGTAACGGTCCCGCATGTACGCCCAGCAGCCACCACGAGCCAAGCACTGCAAAGTGATTGGGAGTCCAGCGCACCGGAGAAGGGCCCAGACCTCATTCTGGAGGAATTGATTCCTGTGGAAGCGATGAACACAAGTGATTATATTGTAACAAACTGGGAAGGTGTAGGAATAGCCTTGGAATACTTGGAGAGGTGGGTCATTTCATTTGGGTACTGGAGGAGGAGTAAGGGCTTTTGAGGCAGAGAAAGGAAGGAAGGAAAATTGCAGGCAGAAGGAAGAGCACAGTTAAAGGTTCATAGGTGTGAAAGGCATGGTGTGTTTGAACACCAGGGAGAAGTTCAAGGAAGGGGAAGGAGAGGTAAGGGGAGAGGGACTTTTGAGCCTTTATATCTGAGCAGTGGACATTTTATACCCATTCTCTGGATGTAGGCACTGAGACTTGGTAAGGTGAAGTGATGTCTGCGCTACGGCTGAACTCAGGTTCCTGACCTTGGTCCATCTGATCCCTCTGCTCCTGGCTGTCTGTGAGATATCTCCAGTGTTCATGAAGTCGCCCAGCTGAGGGGGACTGGGCCCCCAGACACCGCACCTCACTGCAGCAGCCTTCAAGTTGGCCAGTCTGTGCAGGGAGGGGAGGGGCAAGCAGGAGGCTGCTTTAACCAGCAGAGACACAGGTCAGGAGCAGCGGGGAGTTCACTCTGGCAGCTTTTAAGGGACAAAGGCCAAGGAAGCACAGAGAATTGCACTTTTCAGAATTACAAGCAAAACAGATGGTGAGAATACAGTTGGTGGAATATTTTTGCACTTTAATAAAGCAATTTTTATGTGGGTTACTGAATTTTCCTTCCCTAAATGAGCACCAGCCGGCTCAGAGGCAGCTGAGTCACTTGCAGACAATTAGCTGAAAGGAAGTGGGGTGTGGGTGGGGGGCGCCGCCAACGTCAGGAGGCTGCCTGAGGGAGTGACCCCTGGGGGGGGCTCTTTGGGGCAGGTAGATTATTGGCACTAGTTCTTATTTTCTGGACTTGGTAGTGAGCTGGCTCAGCCCCTGCCAGGCAGGAAATGGTGAGCCGGGATACGTGATGCGGAGTAGTGGCCGTGGCGGGGGCTGGGGTGGGCGCATCCACAACCACTCCACACAGGAATGCTTGATTATGAGGTGGGTGCATGGTCGGCCACTGGGAGGAGCAGGGACAGGCCTGGGCAGTGTGGGAGGAGCTGTAGATGAAGCTGGGGCTTCCCCGAGCATGGGTGGGTAGGGTCCGCTGAGAAGGGACAGGCCTGTAAGACAACCCCGAGAATGTTCTGTGCAGCTGAATACACCCTTGGGGCCCCTGGAGAACAAAGTATTGAGAGGCCTGAGTTTTACTGTGCAATGCCACACAGCCCAGCTCTGCAGAGGGAGTTGGGGTGCATGTAAGGGTCTGGTCTTCTGTGGTGGCGTGAAGACCCAGCAAAGTCCAGAGCACCGGCAGAGGCTACTGCAGGCAGCCAAGTGCCAGTGAGCGCAGCTCTGAGCCGGCTGCCCTGGTGCCCATGGAGAAGGAAGGGCTGAGGAGCGCGTCTTTGGAGGGGCACGCGAATGTGTGCGCTCACATCCATGTCCACGCGCCTCACCTGCTCACAGCACTGTGCTACAAAGTCAGGGGGAGGCGGGACATGATTGATGGAGGCGGGAGGGGAGCAGGGTCACTGGGGCCCGCTGGTGCACTTGCTGCTGCCTCCTGTAGCCCCCCCTGCTCCTGATCTCCCCTCTCCTTCCTGTGCTGCCTGGGCCTGCTCTGCTTCTGAGTTAAGCAGAGCCCAAGGCAGGCCTTTCTCGCATTCAGGTTCTGGACAGCCCCCGTCTCACCTCAAGCTGCTCAGAACTGGAAACGGTCTAGCTGTCCATCCACAGGGGACTTGTAAATAAATCAGATAGTTGCCACACAGCGAAATACTCTACAGCACTGGAGGAAACCACAAGAACTGTGCATAGACTTGGAGCAATGGCTGGCTGTATTGTTCAAGGAAGGAAAAAAGTAAGTTTTTAGAACAAGTGGAGGAAGAGCACCATTTTTGTTTTAGGAACTCTCAAGTAGTACCTGTCTATGAATGTGTTCCTATGTGTCCTGCCCGAGATGAAAGCACAGCGAAAGCCTGGAGTGCTGCAGAAGCCAATCTGGACCTCATATTTGAAATTCGCTACTTGTCTCCTTCCCCTTCCTTCCCCTGCTTGGCATTTTCTTTTTTCATGCACTTAATGTCAGCTAACACTTTACATTTCACTATTGGTTATGTTTACTGCACATGCCATGTTTCTTCTCCTTCCACTAGAATACAAGAGTGCTCATGGGAAGGACATTTGTCTAGTGTTTGGCATACAGTAGGTGTTCAGGAAATACGAACTGAATAAATGAACCAAACAGTGTTGGGGGATGAAGGGAGAGAGGTTTACTTTTTACTTAATACTCCAAACATGGCATGAGGTGGGTGATTTTTACTTCCTTTTTAATGGCTTGTTATATTTTCTAATTTTCTTATAATCAGTGTATATTTTTCTCAAAATCAGAAAGAGGAAGAAAAAAGCCTTCTAAGAATAAGCGGTGATGCTGTTCTCTCTCCCGGGCTCCTGCTGTAGGACCCTGAGGGCCACTTTGCAGCACCTCCCTTTTGAGGCAACGCTGGCCATGACTCTCCTGGCTCTGCAGTTGCTTCTCGGTCCATCCGCCCTCTCCAGGGGACCCCAGACAGCCTGGTCCCACCTCCCTTTCCAGGCTTAGCTTTACCGGGCCTTTCCTATCCCTTGGATGGAGCACTCCGCACTGCCTTTGTCCCAAGCCAGCCTGGTCCCTAGAATGCACTCTTCAGAGCCTGTCTGTGCCTTTGAAATTCCTACTGTCCTCCAGACCTGGTTTTAGTACCACTTCCTCGGAAAGCTGCCCAGAGCAGAACTGCTTTCTCTTGCCCTGGCTTCTGACAGTGAGAGTTCCCCGTCTGTGCCCCCACCTGTGGACTGTGCACCTAGAGGGCAGGAGCACTGCTTCTTGTCTCTTTGTCCATGTCTTGGCCTCTCTCTTCCCCAGGCTCTGTTTCTGCCTCTGTTTCTCTGTTCTCTCTCTTTCCTCAGTCCTCCACAACATCTGGTCTTCCCCACCAGCCTCTCTCTTCCTACTCCATTGCTGGCTCCCTTCTCTATCAAGAAGGCCTGTGTTGTGTTCAGCCCATAAAAGGAACATTCCTGGGACAACGGACGGGGTTGAGCCTACCTAATGGCAGAGCCGTGTCCCTGGCTGCTGGCCTTGCTCCTTGCCTAGCTGCCCCACTGAGTCACTTGCCGTCTCAGTTGACCTGAAGGCCTATCCCTGACCCCTCCCTTTTTTCCTCCCTCTCTCCTTCCCCCTCCCTCCATCTCTCCCTCCTCCTGGTTGTTTCTCTGACAGGGGAGCCCTGAAGATGAGAGAAGCCTCCTGGAGGAGCCTTTGGGGTAGAGCAATTCCTGTGGCCTTGCAAAAATAGGGAGGACTGACATCAGGAGGAGCCCCATCAGGTGCCATGTACCTTGCCTGCAGCATGGGAGTCTGACGGTTCTGGAGCATCCTGGATTCCACCAAATGACTTGGAGGGCCTGCCCAGTTGAAGAAGGTCTGTTTTTCCGGCAAATTATGGCCAGAGAAGGGGCCAAGGGAGGCCCATAGTATACATCTTAAAATAGTAGAGGCAGCTCGTGTGATGCGGGGATGGACAGCCTCAACCCTAGTCCTGGCCACTCTCTTGATTTACTCTCAATGTCCTTATCTGTCTACTGGGATGGGGGTCGATATCCGGTCAGGTACCTGGATAAACATCCCACCTATGAGACCATGGCAGTCACCTTGGTTCTTGGTTGCCCTCTCTTGGGTCATCTTAGGGATGATGTCCAAGAAGAAAGAAGCAAGCACAGGACCCTGGCTGGGTGCACACAGGACAAGAAGGTGGTGAGTTACAGCAGTCAACAGCTCAGATCACGGTGTCTAAGGAAGTGGAGTGCAAATCTAGCTCTCCTTACTTTCTGGAGGTGTAATCTGGCCCTCCTTACCTTCTGAGAGTCAGGCACAGTTTCCTGACTTGTAAATGCAGGTTATGATATCTGATTCATCAAGCTGTGCTGAAATTGAATGACGTCTCCATGCAGAAGACTTAGTCCAGTGCCTGGCACATACTAGGTGCTCCATAAACACTGGCTATGATTATTTTGCAAGAAGACACTGTATTTAAAAGTCATCTTGTACCATTAGGGCCAGCACAGAAAATGGCTGCCTTAAGAGTGATAGATGCCCCAAACTCAGGCCAAGCCATCCTGGGAGCAACAGCTCAAGAACATGCTTACATAACCAGGCCCTGGGGCCACTACGTATTTACGGCTTCTTTTCAGGCTTCATAAATATTATGTGTTCCCTATAAAAACGACAACACACACATACCACAGCATGGAAGAAAGTGAAGAAAATAAAAATCATACTCTCAAACAGGCTTGGGTTTGCATCGCAGCTGTGCTATTTTGGGTATCACATGATCTTGGGACATGTTGGGTTTTTTTGACTGTCCTGATCTTCAGTTTTTCCATTTGTACAAATGAGGATGACAGCGGCCATCTCAGGGCAGTTGTGAGGACTAAGTAAAGAGAACACAGTGCCCAGCACAGTGTCTGGAATAAGCAGAGTTGCTTCAGTAATTTATCCCCTTGGATGGAAGCCCCATTCTCACATTTTGCATTTTCTTTCAGTTTTTTTCTATGCATGTATAATGTGTGTATAATATTAACATTGGTATATATTTATTAATTTGAGACCATATTGCCTAATCTTTTTATATTAAAAATCACATCATCTCATGAGGTGCTAACACATGGGAAGGTGTCTGGTTTGAACCCAGGAATTTCTGATTCAATTGCTTTCTTAACTCTTGGCTTCCCTCCTACTATGCTTCTCAGTGATTTTTTTCTGTTACTGTAATCCTTGCACACTATCCCCAAAGAGGTTTTGTACCTTTTCCCCTAATCACTCCATGCATTTATTTAAAAATATCTTATCGTAGAATAATTGGAGATTCATAGCAAGTTACAAAGACAGTACAGAAAGGTCCCATAAGCCCACCACCCAGCAGTCGCAATGCTCCTATCTTACATAATGACAGCACTATATCAAAACCAGGGGTTTGACATAGGTAAAGGAGTGCATGTAGTTCTGTGTCATATTTCATACTTGTAGATTCATATAGCCACCACAGTCAAGATACAGAACTGCCCCATCATGACACTGTATGTGCCATTATAGCGCATCCCTGTTTTTCACCGTCTCTAACCTTGGTAACTACCAATCTGTGCTCTGGCATTTGGGAAGGTTATAGGAGTGGAATCATGGGATCTTTGGAAACAAACTTTTCTTCCTTTACCCCAGTGTCCTGGCAGTCTACCCAAGGGGTTATGCCATTGGTTTACAATTCTGATGCTGGGAATATTCCACAGCATGGATGTATTCCAGCTTGTGAGCCATTAGCCTAATGAGGGGCGTCTACAGTGTTCCTAGCTTTGGCTATTAAACATAAAGTTACTGCGAACTGTGGGGGCTTTGCTTCCAAACCTCTATCCGTTGGAAGACATCAGGCTTTGGTGAGAAGCCTTAAACATTAAGCCAGCTCCCAAGAGGCCAGGGGAACAGCTACTATGGACAAGTGGGGTGCAGACCAGCATATGAAGAGCAAGGCTATGGCCTTGGACAAACAGAGGCTTAAATACTTTGACTCAAAATGAACTAAGTACCTCCAGGTCCTGGGTGGAGACTCTCACAAGAGAGAGGCAGGAACTACTGGTGAGCCTTTCCCGCTCCCTTCCCCTGAAGTGCAGGCTCATCTCACACAGGGTTGGCCTCTAATAGCTGGTGTCCTCCATGCTGTCACAGGAAGCGGTGCCCCAGGATGCTGGGGCTGAGTCCCTAAACCAAGCATCATGTCACTGAGCCCCAACTGGGCCCTAACTTACCCAGGCCAAAGTGTGCCACGGGCTCCATCTCACAAAGGTACCCCGAGCCCCCGTCGATGATTCTTAGGTGAGCCCCGCTCTTTTTGGTGTACAGCACGACCTTGGCCCCCCTGGCAAAAGCTCCAAACTGGGTGCGTGGCACCACTCGCAACCAGTTGTTGCTGAAGCCCTGGAGGGAGGGAGACAGACAGGCACAGCATCAGCGAGGTGGGCAGGAGGAACAGGGAGGGGAGGGATGACAAGGAGGGAGACAGGGAGATGAGGGTGAGGATGAGAAAGGGGGCAGAGGAAAGAGAAAGAGGAGGCAAGGAAGAGAAACAAGGAAAAGGCAGGTCAGCTGAAAAGAAGGAGAGGCACTTGGGAGGGGCCAAGAGACCCAGGAAAAACATTTTTGGCAGAGAAGTGACAGTGGAAGACAGAGGGGCCCAGGGCTTCTCCTGGCAGGCAGGCCTTCCTGAGGTATACTGGGCTGTTGGGGATTGATTTGCTTTCTCCAGGCTTGGGATTTATATTTCCCACCAGGCTGGCCAGCAAGCACCCTAGGCTCCTGTGCTCTGGGCCCAAGGAACACACTGAGCAGGGATCTATGGGTCCTAGGTTGGTGCACACCTGATTCCCTCGGAAGACAGACAGCGGCTGAGCCATGGACTCTCCATGAGATAAGATGAGGTCCAGCATCCCGTCTCCATCGAAGTCAGTCACCACGCCCCCTACAAACAATGCAGATTTCACCGCTGGCCAATGGCAAGCAGACCCACAGAGGAAAGGCGCTCCCAGCCAGGTCCAGCCACCACAGTCCTGAGCAGAGGAGGTAAGACAGAGCTCAGCACTGGGACAGGGGGATGGGGCTTCGGGTCTGTCTCACTTCTAACAGCTGGGTCGGAATTCACAGTACACAACTCCTCTTCCTTCCCTTGGACGTAGCATGGAGGGTGTGGGTGCAAGTTATTCACCCACTGCTCTTTCTGTTATCATTTGACTAATATACTTTTATATTTGTACAGGAGGGTTTTCTTTGTCAGTTTATCAACAGTTTGCATATATTTGGTCTCCTTTTGGTCCTTGTTACAACCTAGAAAGTGAGGAGGGTGGATATGATGATCCCTCTGCCTGGGAGCAGAAGGGACCCACTCTTTTCCTCCCCACCCCCATGTGGCAAGGTCTGGCCAGAGAAACTACTTCCCACAGACCCAGACTCCTGCCCCGAGTCCTAGCAGCCCTGGGACTGAAGGGGGACAGTCCTCTCCTCTGCCTCCTACCTGGCAGTGCCCAGGGCTCCTCCCTTTCTGCTGTCACCTTCCCCTTGGGTCTTGACTTTCAGAGTGGTAGGGACAGGAAGAGCCTGTGGGGGTACTGGCTGTGCTGGGCCTCCTGCCTTTGCCCCAGGGTGCAGGGAACAGCAAGATGGGGGCGTGCAGGCCACAACTCTCAGGTGCCCTCACCTGTGCCCCGGCCTTCAGGCTCCAGTGCATCACCGGGATTGAGCTCCTCGATGAGGGGGTCTCCATGCTCCCTGCGGATGACGCTGCAGGAGGGAGACAGGCTTGCTCCGGGGGAACCCACAGGGGTCCTAGAGGTGCACTTGCTCCATCTGTCCCTTCACCTGGGTGCTCACAGACCCTGCTGACACTCTAGTGGTTCCCTTCTTGGGTTTTAATTTATGTTGGTAAATATTGATTTTTCCTTCTCTAATGGATGAATTACAGACAGTCTGGGGAAGGGCAGTTGATGGATAGAGAGGGGCACGGGCACAAGTACCTTCAACTGACCTTCACTTTTCAAGTGGCGCTGGGTTTCCTAGTTCTGGACACTACCAAGAGTTCAAGCTCTGTGCAAATGCTCTCTCCTCTATGCCCTGACTTGCCTTTATCGCCTTTGTGGCCTTTATCACTTCCTGCTTGTGTTCACGTTCTGTATGAATGCATCTTATCTCCCCGGTTGGTCTGTGAGCTCTCTGCATGCTGGGACCTTGTATTATTCATCTTAGCATCTCCCACAGCATCTAACACAGCGCCCAGCTCTCAGAAAGCTCCAAGCACATGTCTGCGGGATGTGAGGGTGAATTCCAGAGGCAAACAGGAGGAAAGGCTTCTCTGCGGGTTGCAAGGGTTCTATTTTGAACTCTGAATCTTGGTCATATGTGTTTATTTCAGAGACATCTGCTATCAAAGTCCTTCCCTGTGGCCACATTAAATTTACTGCTGGTGATGGTCTGTGCTTCACTCTCTAACTTTTCTTGTCATTACATTCTTTCAGCCCTGACAGTGCAGAGGAAGAGGGGAAGCAGGTGCATGAGGAATCTGCACCCCTCACCCTGCCACACTGTCTGCCCAAAGCACAGAGAACTAAGAGGACTGGGATGTGGTCAGTGCTTTCAGGAGGGGGACAAGGTCCCCCGAGCTGGAAGGTAGCTGGAGGGCAGAGGGGGCTGGCAGAACTGCAGGTGGTGCAGGGTTGAACAGATGCCCATGAGGTTTCCTCTGCCACATGGGGCATGCATGCTGAGTATGTCCACGTGTGTTTCTGCACACCATAGCACATCGGTGGTGGACTTGTGTAGTGTACATGAGTGTGTGCACATCCGATGGAAGAATGATGCTTCAACCTGCTGATGCCCATGGTTCCTTTGACTTCTGCCATGGAGGTTCTGCCACAGCTGGGCAGACACCTCTTGGTTCAGGTGAAAAGAAATTAAGAAATTCCAAGGAGAAAACCCAGCAGTTGCACTGAGTTTCTGTATTCAGCGAACACATTCTTCTGTAGCAGCTTCCATGCATCAGGCTTTGATGAGGGCATGAGGTACAGCGATCAGTGGGGACGGAGCTAGGAGTCACGTCAATAGGGAGACACCATGCACAGGGTTGGAGGCTGGCAGGGGGCACATGGAGCTGTGCTCACCCAGATGGGGGCAATCGGAGGAAGGCTGGCTAAGTAGAGGCCAGTGTAGTAAGGGGCAGGGCCACTCAGATGAAGAAGGAGCTCAGGGCCTAGAGTGTGTGGTCAGTGCCTTGGCCCAGGCCCAACAGAGCCCAGTGCTGAAAGAGGCCCAGGTGCCTGGTGCTTGGGTATAAACGGGAGAGTCCAGAGGCTGGGGACCTTATCTGAAAGCAACAGGGAGCCTCCACAGGGTGGTAAGTAGAAGACAGGTATATGTAGATTTACATTTCCTGCAGCTTGCTCTGTAGGACTAAACACTGGGAGAGGGAGAAGGGTGGGAGGTGGTACAAGAATCCCCCAGAGGGACCAGAGAGTGGTGTAGGGGGAGAGTTGAAGACAGATCAGAGGCACATTTAGATGCAGAAGTGGGGGACCACACACACTCCAGTTGGCCTGGAAGAGTTCCTGTTACGACTGGTGTCTTGCTGTGATTATTAATGGTGCCTCTTTCACTTTGGTTTGGGCCTGGTTTGGTTGACGAATGGCCCCTGGCATCATTAAAGGGCCTGATGACTTGTGTACCTGAAGCTTTGGTTTCCCAGTGCCTGGCTATGCCTCAAGAGAGCACTAGGCTCAAGGAGCCCATGATGCTCTGATGTTCTGTTCAGCAACAGGTGAAAAGCCTGTGTGGAGGGGGACAGGTGGGGGTTAACTTTTGGCACTGCCAGCTGAGCACAGTCCCAGCAGTAGACCCTGAGCTATGTGCTCAGACCCAACCATCTGCCACAGGGACTTCAGGCCCAGCCACATGCTTAAGAGGTGGCTTCTGCTGCCTCTGTGTAGAAGCAAACATTACCCCACTGGGTGACCACGTGGTGACTGTCCACCGGCAGCCTGTGCCAGCCCATGTCCAGCATGGAGAGGCTTAGAGGTTGGCAGCAGACTAAGGAGGTGGCAGGGAGGGGAGGCGCCTGGGTTCTCAGGCCACTGAGATCAGAGCACTAGACTAGTAGGGGCTTAGGGGCCCTGGCAAGTGACACTTTATTAGCCAGAGAAGGAAAGCAGTGTCTCTGTTAACGAGCAATTGATCTTCCGCAATTAATCTGGAAGTTGTGAATAAGCTTTTTGCAAGGCACCTAATTAGTAAATCTGGTGCCTTTGGGGGGTGATTACATCCAGTCAGGATTGATGCTTGGTTAATAATTATATTTTAAAACACGCTTAGTCACAACTTACACGTTTTAATAATAGCTGGACCTTCCTGAGAGAGGGGTTAGGGACCCCAGGGGGCCACGCAGGTGGTCTGACCCATTTTCCTGGCTCCAAGACCTTTGGTCCTCCCAGTTCTCCCCATCTGGTCATGAACCCCATTCGTATCTGTTAGGCCCAGAACAGAGACACCTCTGGTCACAAGTCCTGAGGTTTCTTCCCAGCAATGTTTTTTTACGAGTGTGATAAGAATCATCTGGTGCCAGCTGCCCTTCTTAGAAATGCAGATTTCTGTACCTCACCCTCTATGATTCTGACCCTGGAGGTCTGAGGTGGGCCTTGGGATGCTGAACAATAGGAACCCTGAGTGACTTTGATGCTAATGGTCTCTGGCCTGCTGGGGAGAAATGTCACCTCTGAGATTCTACATTTCTTTCCAGACACTGTGCTCAGGGGATTGCTGCTTCCTTGGATTTCGAAACTCCCTTTTCTTTCTCAACCATTCATTGTCCCCTGTGATGTTTCCCAAAGGCTGTTCTGCAGAGAACCAGTCCTGAGAGGTAAGCCTTTGAAAGATATGTTCTGTGGTCAAATCTATTTGGAACACTCCATTTATCTTTTAGAAAGTTGAAACACTTGTGGTCTAGATACAGGCTCCAGAAATCTGTGGTAAATAAACCTGCCTCTCTGCTTAACCCGGGTTCACCCAAAGACTTGACCTTTAAGCCTTTTGTGGTGGGGGTTTCTAGCTCATGGAGCTGGAGACGGGCACAGTCTGGGCCCTGTCCTGGCAATAGTCCAGGACTCTCCCTCCATCCTGCAGCCTTTTGCTCAGCCTCTGGCCTCCCCTCCTTTCTCTTTCTTCTGTTCTTTCCTTCCCTGGCCTTGCAACCCTCCCCTCTGAATCCTAACCCCTGGCTCCCAGCCACTAGGCTGGAGTGCATACCGGAAAAGGCGGTTGGCAGAGGAGCTGCGGTAGGCAATGTTGTTGAAGAAGATCTCCAGCTCCTGGTCATTGTCAAAGTCAGCAGCAATGACAGTGCGAACAGGGGAGGGCATGGCGAACTTGGGTGAGGCAATGTCCTGGAGGAGAAAGGGCGGCGGGTGAGCGCGCAGGAGAGTGGGATTGGGCAGGAGGCCACCCCTTCTATTGTGTGTGTGGACACAAAGCCAAGAGTCCCACACCTCCCGTCCCACCTCTGCATGAGGGACTTGGGTGGCTGCCTTTAGAACATGAACCAGACAAAGGTCTGGGTAAGGGATCTGCCTCTAAAAGAGGAAAAGAGCTGTGCAAGATGAACTTTTGTTTCTGAACAGTGTAGCCTTACTGTAGGTAGGGTTGCCCCTTACAGAACCTGGGAGCCTGTCCAAATGCCAGGGCCCAAATAGACAGGGATAAGAAGGGCACAGCCAATATTTCTAGGGTGCAGGCCTGCTCTGCTGGCCACAGGAACGAGCTGGCCTGGGTTAGTCGGTGAGCTGACCGGGGAGAACAGGGAGGGAGGACTGAGTTGCTGCATCAGCACCGCACCAAGTTGATGATGGGCTTGGTCAGCTGGTCAGGGTGGGACGAGCAGGGCCTTAGCAGCTGAGGAACAAGGAGATCTCAGGATCTCTAACTCATTTCTGATCTATTGATCTTATAAAAATGGAAACCTACACAGCCCCTTGGGATTGCCCTGACTGAATGCCTGGGCTTCTGAGATAATGTATGTAAAGCTCTTAGCACAGTTCCTGGCACATGGGAGGCACTTGACTAAGTGGGCACTTATTATTATGATGCTGATTGCTCCTATGAGTTCTGTGAGGGGCTTTCAGAAGGTTAAAGGTTCTTTAACCCCAGCACATGGACACTTGGGCCTGGATGATTCTTTGGTATGGGGCTGCCATGTGCATTGAGAGACGTTCGGCAGCATCCCTGGCCTCTAGTCACTGCATGCCCACTGTACCCCTTTCCCTAGCTGTGATAACTAAAAATGTCCCCAGATACTGTCAGATGTCCTGAGGGGAGGGAAGGAGAGCAAAATTATCTACATTGAGGACTTGAGTTAGAACAACAGCTGAGTAAAGATGGGTGTCATCCTGGAGCCCAGGATCTGGAGCCCTGATTTCAGGACGTGCCTCCTTTTCACCCAGACAGCTTGGGTCTCAAGCCTCTGTAGGAAGGGACCTAAGGTGGCTCCTACAGGGCAGGAACTTGTAGTGGGACCTCTCCATGGTCACAAATCATGAAGGACCCTGTAGACTTCCCCGGGCACACAAAACAGTTGGAACTTGTTCATCCCCTTGGGTGTTCTTGGCAAGACAAGTACTTTCAGAACAATGCTGGCTGCCTAATATCGGCTTCAATGATCCATGTTCTCTGTTTCACTCCCTGGGTAAGGCCCAACTCAAGCTTCTCATGGTGGTAGCAATTCCATTAATGGGAACAGTCCCTTTGAGAAATTCTCAGCATCACAGTCTATTGACACCCAGGAAGAGGGCTCAGGAAGGGTTCTCCCAGCCCACTATCTGTCTATAAGGTCAGCCTTGGGAACTCTGTGGCCCCTCTTCCCTTCTTTCGTGATATTCCACCCTGGATTTGAGCCTCAATTTGGAGGGCCCAGACTGAAGCTTCGGGTCAGGTCTTCCAGGAGCCTCCAGAAACAATGGCCTCTATCCAGAGATTGATCCACCAGAGGGGGCTCCAGCCACCGTGGAGGTTGTTCTTCCTTGGCACCTGCCCACCTCTCTACTCTGAGTCCAGGGTCTCCACAAAGCCCAGGCTGGAGCCTGTCATCTCCTGCGTGTTATCTTCACTCTGACCTGAAGAGCCACCAACTCCTCAGGCCTGGCAGCGAGGGGAGGGAATCAGGGAGGCACCTCTTACCCGGAAGCGGACTTTCCCCTGGGCGCTCATCTGCAGGTAGAGGCGATGGGGGCCGTTCCAGTTGCCATAGACGATGTCCACTTTTCCATCTCGGTTGAAGTCAGCTAGGGCGACGCCTCGCCCATGCTGGTGGGGGTCATCTACACCTGCGGGGAGAGGCAGGGGCCTCAGGATGGTAGCCCTGCATACTTCATGAATACTCACCCTGAGCAACAAGGGAGATGCCCGCCTGGGAGATGGGAAGACACAGCTGTGTCTCACAAGCTCTCCACAGAGGCAGAAGGTGGAACAGCCATCTGTTAGCAAAAGGGACTGGAGACTTGTTTTTGGGACAGTACAGCACGTACACTGTACTCAATTTGAGGCAGTATGAGTTGAGGAAGGAAAGTGGAAATTTTTTCAGTGGACCAAATCATCTCCTGGCCATCCCAACATGGCCTGGGAGATATTAAGTGAAACATGTCACTGTCTTGCCTCTTAAGGGCTCCCCAGTACCCTTGGGTCAAGTTCAAATTTCTGTCCAGAAATCACCAGGCCCTGCCTCACTGTGCTCCTGCCTACCTTCCCACTTACTCACTGAGCTCTGGCCACTCATGTTTTTCCCACACCCCAAGTGAACCAAGCTCTTTCCAGCTTCTGGACCTTTGTTCAGCTGGACTCCACATGGGTGCCTCCCAGGCGCACAGTTATCGAGCTCTGTTTTTCTGCTTTTAGCTGCATCCCCTCCTTAGGGAAGCCTTCCCAAGTGACCTCATGTACATAGCCCCTCTCACCCATTGTGCCAAGATCCCTGGTCTCTTCTTTCACAGTGCTGATCACAAGGTGCCTTTATGTCCCTTTTTGTTTCACTTGTTGGAACCCAGTATTCCTGCCAGACCTGATGCTCTGTGAGGTCAGGACTATCTTCTTGGTTCACCCGTGTGCATGCAGTAGCTGCCTCAGCCTGCCTGTCTGGGAGTTTTCAGTAAGTACTTGCTGAATGAATGAAGAGACATAAATAATTTGACAGCAGGCAATCTGGGGATGCTGGTGACGGCAGAGGAAATACTTCAGCTATGACAGAGAAATCCAGAGCATGCCTTGTAAAGACCTATGTCCAGTGTCACCTGCCTACCATTTACCAGTGGGCTGGCCCTAGGGGAGGGTGGAAGGTGGCTCTGCTTGAGTGATGGCCTGACCTCCTGGCTGTCCGAGGCATGCCTGCTCCTCAGGCCAGGTGCAGACATAGAAAAAGCTGACTCTTTCAGAGGACAAATAGCTGGAGGTCAGCAGGCTCCCGGGTGGCAGGCAATAGGACAACATAATGGGGGTGGCAGTCACAGCTGCACACAGGGAAATCCTGAGGGTGGGAGCCAGGAGAAAGCAGAAGTTGGGCCCCTGAGAAGCCTGGAGGCCGGTGTCCTCATGAGGCATGAGGTGGAAAGGGCCTGCGGGATGGGGCAGGATGGAAGAGGAGGCGATGAGACTCACACTGAGAAAGAAGGTTTGCACAGCACTGAGGGCAGCCTCCTTCCCTAGGATTAATACCCCATTAGTTCTCAGCAAACCTGCCCAGCCCAAGTGTCGGTGGCCTTCTATGTCGGCCCATTTCTCTCCTACCTGTGAGGCACCTTGACAAGGAGCTGGTTCCCTTTCACAGGACTAATCGGTGCCAGGCTGCCTGTCTTAGCAGCATCTGTTTGGGTGACGGATGCCCTCTTGACATGTCTCGTTAAGCCCCTGCCATCATTCTGACTTTCAATTACGGGCCTAGCACTTTGCCTCTCTTCTCCTGCCCAGTGTCTTCTGCCACTCCACCTTGTTTGCTCGCCTCTGCTTCCATCTCTGTAACATCTCTTCACATCCCCTAGGCTCCCTCCACCACCTCTTCCTTTGCTCTATGATTTCTCAGCAGCCAGAGTGCTTGCTGTCAAGTGTAGCCCTGAGAGAAGAGTCAGGCAGGAGGACAGCCCAACTTCAGCTCTGCCAGGAAAGCAGACATAAAGCAGGGCCAGGGGCTGATCGGCTACACTTTGGGGGCAGGTGGGTGTTCTGGACAGGAGTTCCCCCGAATGGAGACTCCCAAGCAGGAAGCTCTGGGAGTAGATACTCGGGTCAGAGACAATGGATCAGCACATGCTCAGGGATTTGATGCCAGCTGTCAGCAACAGCTGAAGCTGATTTGGCCTTTGACATATAGCCTAGATCCCCAATCACCTCTTCCCTATGTGTCCAAGAAGGAGGTGAAATTATTCTCTCCCTACCCATGTCTTCCCCACCTTCCACTTGTTGGCAATGTGGGGATGACATGGGTAAGAAGGGGGGCTGGAGAACAGACTGATTATGTCCACCAAATTTTAGGTATCCATTCTGTCATTTAGCAAACTGTACTGGATGAGCACTGGGTACAAAGCATTATATCAAGAAGGAATAGAACAGTGTCCCAGTCCCTTTAGATCTCATAGACCAATCATGAGGGTAATGTAGAACCCTGAGTGACAAGCTCATGTAAGGGGCAGTGGGAATACAGAGGAGGAAGGGCCAATCTCTGCCAAGTAGCACAGAGGGAGTCAGGAAAAGATTCATAACAGTGACATTTGAGCTGAGTGTTAAAGGATACATAGATGTTTTGTGGACAAACAAGAGAGAGGGCAGTCCTGCAGAGGAAATAGAAGGTGCAAAGGCCCTGAAGTTTATGGGGTGAGCACAAAGGGAGGAAGGGCCGCAGAGCTGGGGGTCATGGGTCCTATTTTATGTGGGTCTTACCCTACTTTTTATAGTTGTTGGTGTATATGTCTGTAATGGTTGATGCATTGTGTCAACTTGAGAAGTTTAGAAGTTTAAAAAAGCAACTCAGCAGGGGACCAGGGTCTTCACTTTGTAAACATCTTCATCCTGTGCAAGAGGAGGGGGTGGAGATTGTGTGTGAGTGCTACACCTTCCTTGGGGGATGGGTAGTCCGCTTGCAGTATAACAGAGGAAAAGAGGCTTGCTATTCCCCCTTTCGCTCTTGTTGCCTTTTCTGTCTTCTGCTGCCTTGAACTGTTGCCCCTCACCATGCCACTCCGCCTTGGAGCCAGCTGATTACAGACTGAAACCTCCACAAACTGAAAGCTAAATAAACCTTTCCTTCCTTAATTTTGGGTGTCAGGTATTTTGTCTCAGCAATGACAGCAAAGTAACCAAGACAATGCCTGTTTCAGGAAGGTCTGCATTTTCTATATGTGGGGTGGCCTCAGTCTTATTTAGGGCAGCATCCTCAGCTCCTAGCACAAACCTGGCACTTGGAAAAAGTTTCATAAATGGCTATGGGATTGAACTGAATGCTTAAGATAAGTAGGGGTGGGGGCCAACATGGGAAGACACAGCTTGAAGGGGAAATTGATGTTGGGAGACAAGTAGAACCGGAGGATCATGGACCAGGGCCAGTTACTGGAAAATGACAATGGTCAGGAGTCCCTGATTCTTTTTTCTTGTGGCCTGAGTATGAGTGTGTGTTTGTGTAATGTGTGTGTGTGACTTTTCGACAGGTAGCACTCCAAGTATAGCACTAGGAGAAAGGAGTCAGGCAGGAGGGCAGCCCAACTTCAGCTCTACCAGGGAAGGAGAAGATGCAAAAAAGGTGTGTGTGTGTGTGTGTGTGTGTGTGTGTGTGTGCGTGCGCACGCAGTTGGAGTTGAAAGCATCACATCTGACAAGTGACTTCCCTAAGTCTGGGCCAGGGCAGGGCAGGGCAGCCTGGAGTCCCTGGCGTGGGGACTTCAAGGGTACAGGGCAGGGTTATGTTTACTTACCAGCACTGGCTGCAGCATCCACAAAGGTACCATTGCCCTGGTTGTGGAAGAGGAAGTTGGGCCCATTCTCATTGTCACAGAAGATGTCTGAGGCACTACTGCTGAGGATAGGGCCCACGCTGACACCTCGTCCCCCTAGGAGAGGACATGGACCCAGAGTGAGTGACAGAAGCAAATCCCCAGGTCCAGCTAGAGCATGGAGCTGCCTCTAAAGCCTGTGAGAAGCTGCAATGGAGGTGCCTCAGAAGAGCCCTGGGGGTAAGTGCAACCTTCCGGATGCTTCCCTGAGCCAATGCTGGGCTCACAGTCTCCATAAATCTGATGTCACTGGGGATGAGGCCAAGGAGGAGTCAGACCGAGTCACTCTGTAGCACAGGAATGATTCCAGGGACTAAGGAACATAGAAAGCTTGGCTCTTGCCCCAAATGTCAACACACTTCCCTTCTAATAGTAGAAGCTAAATTACAATAAATTAAATTACACACCATTTTGGTCAAGTCACAGGTCCCTGGACAGCCCCTACTACCCCTCAGAGGCCCACATATACTGGTCAAGAACCTTGGGTATATTCCTGCTTTAAGAACCTACACAAAATAAGTTCTGGCTATAGGTTCCAGCTGTAGGTAACAGCTATAGGTGCAAGCATGCTCATTTCACATTGTTTGACATAGTAAGCAATTATGTCCATTGATAGCAAACTGCTTGAATGGATTACAGTGAATCCATATGGTAGATCATTCTGTAGCACCTAAAAAGACTGCATAGATCCATATGTATTGACTTGGAGGAATGCCCATGATACATTGTTAAAAGAATAAACAATCTGCCAAGTAATGGTGTTTTGTGATCTTTTTATCAAAAGATAAGAAAATAAATGACGTTTCTGAATATACATGTTTACACGGCTTATCTGAGTTTGGAGAAAAATGGGGAAGGCCACACACCAAGCTATTAATACTGGCCACCTTTATGGGGTAGGATGGGGAGGGAAGGAGATGGTAGTTGGCCTTTTCTTTGAATGTCTTCGTATTGTTTTGCTTATTCCAATAAGAATTGCTTCTGTCACATCAAAGAAAAAATCCAATAAGTACACTTAAAAACAAAAAAGAAAGAAAACAAGTTAGCTATACGTTAGGCTTTGAAGTCTCTGAGAATATACTTGAGCTACATGTGTCAAAAAGTCCAACCTTAGTATGTCCTGAGCAAACTATCCTTAACCGGTAGGTTTTAGATAAAGCTTCTGCTTGCCAATCTCTGCCTGCTCCACACCTCCCAGTGCTGGAAACTCTTACAAGCCCGACTAGGATAAGACAGGGATTCCAGTCCCAGCTTGGCTTCTTACAAGCTGTGGGAGCTTGTGCAGCTTATATTACCCTTTAAGCTTCAGTTTTTTCATCTGTAAAATGGAGATGGTCTGACCTACCTTTCCTACTTCAGGGTTTTTGAGAGAATCAAATGAGATGAGATATGCCTGCTAGAATGGGGATTTTCAAAAAGATGAAAGATTACAAGTGTCCACAGGGTGTGGAGAGAAAGGAACCCTGTAGACGGCTGGTAGAAAGGTAAATTGGTATAGTCACTATGGGAAACAGTATGGAAGTTCCTTGAAAAATTAAAAATAGAACTACCATATGATCTAGCAATTCCACTACTGAGGATACAGTGAAAGGGAATGAAATCTCAATATGTTAAAGAGACATCTACACTCCCACATTCATTGCAGCATTATTCACTGCAGCCCACCTAGGGGATCAACCTGAATACTGCACAACAGATGAATGAATAAGGAAAATGTGGCATATTTACACGCTAAAGTATTATTGAGCCTTACAAAGAGGAAAGTACCGTCGTTTATAACAAGGATGAACCTGGAGGACATTGTATTATGCGACATAAACTAGGCACAGAAGGACAGTATGCATGATCAATTTACATGGGGATCACAGAAGCAGAAAGTAGACTGGAGGTTACCATGGCCAGGGGAGGGAGGATGTTGGTTAAAGGGCACAAAAGTTAAACAGGAGGATTAGGTTCAAGAGATCCACTGTATACCATGGTGACTATAGTTAGTAATGATGCACTGTATGCTTGAACATGCTAAGACAGTGCTGTAGATTTTAAGTGACCTCATAGCAAATAAGTGATAAGTATGTGAGATAATGCAAATGTTAATTAGATCGAGTTAGTCATTCCACATTGCACACATACGTCAAAACATCACACATTACATGATAAACATATACACTTTTTAGATGTTAATTTGAAAAATGAGTTGAGAGAGATGAAAGGACTTTGTAGACAGACCCTCTGAGCAGGAGTCAGGCCTCTGCACCAGCTGCAGGAATGGCACTGAGAGCTTGTTGGAAACGCAGACTCTCAGGCTCTATGGAATCAGAACCTGCATCCTAACAGACCCCTGAGGGGTTTGTGTGCACATTAACATTTGAAATATATTACTCTAAAAAGCTATTTAGCATAGCAAGAATAGTTCTAAGAGTACTCCAGAATTTTTTTTTGGTAAGTGAGAGATTAGGCAGAGCTATGTGATGATGGGCCAGGCTCCCCACCACCTACCTCTGGGTAGGGCAGAAGTTTCCTCAAAGTGCTATGCTAATTCGAGAAAGGTGTTCTCCTAAGCTCCTCCCATCCTGACAGATGCCACAGGAGGAGGTCAAGGGGCATTCAGGGGTACAGGGTGGGGCAAAGGCATTACCATTGTTAATGTTTCCATGATTAGATTCTTCTTTACACCCTCTGGGCCTTTGCCTCTGGGAATTCTCCCCGGATAAACTGATTAGCTCTCTAGGAGAGTCCAAGTCTCATGAAAACTGGACTCTTAATTCACATTGCTACTGATTGATGATTGTCCTCCAAGATGGCATTACTTTCCTACATGAAGTGGGGTGAGAGGCTTTCAGAGGCTTTTGTAAGGCCAGCAGGAAGGGTGCTGAACCATAACTTAGCACCACCTCTGCTCATTAAAACGGGAGCTGCTAAGTGGCTGTTGGCAGCTGTCCCTGCCCTGGTCTTGCAGACCCCAGCCCGTGAGTGGGCTCCTATGAGAGGACGGTGGCCTAGCCCAGGGCCCTGGAAATCCCAAATGGGACACAGAACCTGCTACCATGCAAGTTTGTCCTTCCTCTCCATTTTGGCATCTTCCAATTTCCTCTCTGCCTTTGGCTCCCAAGCTGTGACACGTTCCCTTCATTTTCTACAAAGCAGGTTATTTCCCTTTTGGACAAATTTCTAAATCTTTCTAATTAACTAATTGGGTTGGGTTGAAGCCTTGCACCATTTGTAACCTGTAATTACTAGAAAATTGCCATGGTAACCACACTACTAATTAGTGGCAATTTATTGCCATGGCAACTGGACCATAACAGAGACGTTACCCACAACTCCTTTTTGGCAAGTTGGTGGCACAGTTGAGAAGCAGGTGAGTTGACAGTCAAGGAGCCAGCTTTTTGGGCACCAGCGCCTGCAGTCTTAGGACGAGGAGCAAGCTGGGGTCCAAGGCAGGGATGCCACCCACTGCTGAGGCCTCAGGGGATCTCTACTCCCAGACTGACGTCTAAGTCCCCTTCAAACCAGTGAAATCCACCACTGTAAGTACAGCCTGCACTTCTGCTTCTGCTCACAACGACAAAGGCACTAGCAAGGATCTTCCACCAGGTCTATCCCCTCTTCTTCCTCCTTTGTCACATCTGCCCTTTCCTCCACCTCCCCAGGTTGGGACATACCATATGGAGCCACCAGGGGGCTGTTAGAGACATCTTTATTTAGCCTTAGAGGAGGATGTCCTAGTAGGGCGTTGATGCCACTTTATATTAATTCTTATATGTGAAGCCAGCACATCCTCTCTGGAAAAAAAAGTTCCCCAGGTAAGGCTAGAGAGGCCAGACTGGTGGTGAGACCTCAGGTCGTGGGATCAGCAAGTCCGAGTTTGGGCTGTGTGACCTTGGGCACATCACTTAACCTGACTGGGTTTCTGTCTTTTCATTTATGGCATAAGACTGGTAAGAATAATAGCTCCTTCTCAGGGCTGTCATAAATATTGAGATGGTTTTTGGAAGGTACTTTGGAAAATGTCAGGTGCCATATAGTCATTAGTTGGGACTATTTACCACCTGCTGGGTGAAAAATACTGGTATCACTTTTTCCCCGGCACTTTCAAGCTTCAAAGCCATCCTTGTTAGACTGTTGGGCTTTGAATGCTCCTCCCTTCCTATTCCTTTCAAGCACTTCTGCTGGGTGGGAGGGTGCGGTTGGAGGAGAAACAGGCTCCCCCTCCCGCCACACTGCAGCTCTCCTGATAATCTGCTCACTAGGCCCAACCCCACAGGGAAGACTTGGTTGTCCTCAAGAACCTCACGCCCAGACCTATGAACTTACACTTTAGCAGTACAGACTCTAGTATGATTCAGGAGCAGGTGATCTCTCTCTCACGCTGTGTGTGGGCCAGCCCTCTGGCCTGCTGCAGGTGGGGGGAAGGGAAAAATTGTGGGATAGGCTGTGCACTGCGGAGCTATTCCAAACTGTGGTCTTGGCAATTAGGGACAAAGCAGCACAGTGTTTATGGTGCTATGAAAGGCCTCTCAGTTCTCACTTGATCCCTGCCTCTCTCTGGCTTCAGTAACTTGGAAAGTGTGTCTGTCAGGCCTCAGTCCCTGTCCTGTGAAATGGATGAGGAAGTAAGATCTCTGAGGTTCTTTCTAGTATTACCTGTCAATTCCTGCATCCTCCAGAGAGATGCTGGATTAGGGTGCTGGGAGCTGTTTCCTGCACTCTCTGTCCCGTGGAGGCTTCGAGGCAAGGCCTGTCAGCCAAGGATCTTGAACACATGGCATTGATGTGCTGAAGTCTTGTTGGAAATAGCATGCTGGTGGATGTCAAGGTCCATGGGCTACCAAGAACATCCAGGATATTGTAAAACGTGGCACTTGGACACTGGGAGATGTGAGGTAGAAAAGGGCAGTAGGGTATGAGCAGGTGCGTGTTGGAGAAGAAGGTGTGAGGGTAAAGGGCGGGATGGTATCAGTGTCTCCCATCTAAATTTCCTGAAAGTTCTGAAAGAGTATGTCTGTGTTGGTGCTTGGTGACCCTACAGATGCTGCTCAGACTGCTCCCACTTTCCCCTGGTCCTTCCTGGCCTGTCTCCGCAAGATGCTCCCGGACAGCCTCCATCCGTTATTCCCTGGCTGGGAGACTTTCAAACCTTGGCTACCTGGTGGTGCAGGCGGGTGCCCCTGCCCGAGCTCACTTCCAGCAGTGAGGAGCAGGAAGAAGCTGTAAGGAAATGACTGGGTGAAAGTGGCAGGAAGAGTTCCTCTAGTAGCAGTGGTTGGGTCCCTGTGCTGGCATCATACACATGCAGCTCACGTCAGTTTCATGACACCTCACAATGTGTTTTGTCACCACCACTTTCTTTCTGTGTTTAACTGAGAAATTAAAAATTGCATATATTTACAGTGTAATGACATGTTTTGAAGAATGTATACATGGTGAAATGGCTCAGTTGAGCTAATTAACATATTCATCACCTCACATACTTGTGATTTTTGTGGTGAGAATGCTGAAAATCTATCCTGTTGGCATTTTGCAAGAATACAATGCATTGCTATTAACTGTAGTCACTGTGTTGTGCACTGGATGTCTAGAATGTATTCTGCTCATCTAACTGAAATGTTGCGTCCTCTGAGCACCATCTCCACAACCCCTGGCTTCCATTACCACCATTTCCTAGGTGAGGAAACTGAGGCTCATGGAGAAGCAATCCCAGTCACATGTGTGCTCCCAGTCAGTGTGCAGAAGGTCACATTTCAAATCATGAACTATTCTTTCCAGCCTGTTTCTCAAATGTTTTTGCTAAAGTCTCCTCTCTACAGAGCAGGGTTTGCATTGGCATGTAGAATGACCAGCCACAGGCTTGATGTTTCTTTCAAATCTCTTGTGATAGCTGAGAAAACTGCATACAAAATTTATATTTCTACATCTGTGTTTTAAAAGAGAAATGACCTCCCTCCTGACAATCACTGAATGCATCTGATACACAGGGAAATTGTTCCTGTGTATCCTGGGCTTTGTGGGCCCCGGGCAGGCCTGGCAGAGGAGCCTGTCCCTCCAGCCTTGCCTGGTTCTGGCTGTCAGACCTGGCTGTGCTCTGCTGAAAGACCATCCCTGCTGTCTGAGAACTTGGGAGGCTCCGCGGCCCCGCCCTGCAGCCCTCAGTCGCGTCGCTGATGGGGATCTGCCAGCAGGCCCCAGCTGGGCTTTAGGCTTCTCCGTCTCCTCCAATAATGACTTCCTATAAATCAGATCTGCCCTCTGCTTTGTTCCACACTGCTCCCAGCCAACAGCAAAACTCTCCAACCAGCATCATAAATCCACCTTCATTTTCTTTCCAAATTTCTTTTAAGGCTTCTTTAATCACAACCTTGCAGCCCAGGCAGATGCTCCCTCAAAGGGTGAGGTCCAAATGCAGGACTTGTGGGGACAGATGAAGGCCCAGGGGATGCTGGGTCCAGTGGGAGGGAGTTTAGGGAGCTGGACTCCAGCGATGAAGATGCCACGCTGTGCCCACGCGGAGCACACAGAGTGCCTCCAGGACAGGGCGGCGCCTGCTCCCTTTCTGCACCCCCAGTGTTGTCCAGCAGAGGGCCTGGGTATGAGCATATGCTATACAGGGCAGGCACTGCTGGTTTGCCAGGCCACGGGCGGGCATCCCATGTTCCCTCCTTTCATTCCTCAACGTCCCCTCTGTGTGAGTGAGAAAGCAGCAGCCGGAAAAGTTGGTGTTGCCTGTGGCTGAAGGGTGTGGTGGAGGCAGAGTCTGCACATGGCAGCCTGCTTCACGCCCTGTCCTTTTAGCTGCTCTGCAAGCCAGCTTGTTCAGGGCGTTCAGAGTGGCTGAGGGATGTGCTCAAGGTCACTGGGCACAGAGCTTGTGCAAGACTTTTGGCTCTTCCTCCTCCTTAGGTTTCATGCTAGGGTCGTGCTGTGGTGGAACCCAGTTCTCAGGATTCCTATGCGGGGCAGCTCCTGGCATTGCCCTGGCTCCAAAAGGCCATGCGCAGTTGGAGATACTGGGGCTTGGGATTCTAGGGAGTCAGGGCATGGCGGTGGGGGGGAGTGGTCTTCCTGATGCCCTTGTGGGCACCACCTACACTCGCTCTACAGCCCTCAGGGGCCCTCAACTCCCCCGAGAGCAGACATGGTGGCCGCTAGATGGCACTGTGACCCAGCAGAGCAGCAGTGGCCACTGGAATCAATAATGTCTGGAGAGGCTTCCCTCCCCCTCTCGCAGAGCAGGACGGCTAATGCAGGGACAGTGCCACTGCCTTGCAGTCTCCATGGTGGCCTGGCCTCTCCCTGGTGCCCAGAGCACCCCAGGCCAGCAGCTGCATCAGTCCTACAATCTAGGACCGCAGTTCAGGGCCTGAGTGCCCATGCTTAGGGCTGCATTGCCAGTGGGTGTGGGGTCTTCCTCTCACCAGCCTGGAGGGGGATTCTCAAGGTGGAGGTCAAAAGAGAAGCCAGCTGATTATAGCAGGTTAGGCTTTAGGAGATGGGGCCCTATGACTAGTTTTCTACAATCTCCTATGTGACCTTGTGCGAGTCCCTTCTATTTCTGGACCTTGGTTTGTTACTTTGGAAATCTGGAGGTCCCCCCAGGCTGTAGGCTGTTCAAAAGATGGGTGCTGTAAGGCATGGCTGTGGAGGCCTCAACTCTCTGAGTGCACACCTGGGCAGAGTTTGCTTTGCTCTTAGCCTGGGCCCCGGCACTGGCCTAGCGCTGAGCATTGGCCACCTGCCAGAGTCTCAGCCATCAGGCTGGGCTCAGCATGGCAGCCCGTACATTTGGGGTCCATTCCTGGGTCTCAAGGGGGCACTCAGGGCTAGTTCTCCAGCCAGATGTCCCTGTGTCATTAGCCGAGTGATGAGGGTGCTGTAGGGTAGTGTTGGGGGGCTTGGCAGGCAGGGAAAGGATGGGCTGGGGAAGGCGGGTAGACAGAACAGTAACTTGGTGGGCCAAATAGGTTCTTCTTGGCCAAATGGCTTCTGCAAGTCTGGAGGGCTGCTCTGATGCGTCCTCTGGGCATGCCAGCTGCCCCAGCTTCCTCTATGCCTCCACAGAAGCTGCTGTCTCTCCTTGGGCTGCCTGGTCCTTCCACAGTCAGCTGGTGCTCCTACCCCATCTCTACTCCTCAGCTGTCTCCGCCTAGTATCCCCCACCTTCCTGGGTTTGTGCCAGCCCAGCCAGTGTGAACAATGCCTGCTTCATGCTCAAACAGCCCAGATTCGTCCATTCTGCGTATAACCTACTCTCCCAGTCCTTGCCTCCCTTCCATCTCATCATTTTCAAGTGCTTCATCCCCTCAGCCCACCCCTCTCCTGCAAGATCAAGGCACTTAATTGCCAAGCCAGCCCAGTGCACAGAACTGGGAGCTACTCAGAAAAATTGACTGTACCAATCCAGGCTGAAGCGCCTGCATGTTTACTCCTTTCCCAGGGAAACGTGGTTTATTACTGACACTCAGCCTTTCTGAGGTACATTTGCGCACAGAGCTCTCAGGCACTTTGATGGGGCTTGAGCTGTGCAAACTATTTTATTGTCTAGTCATTTGTCCCCACAAAGTTTGTCAGACAGGTTAACATTAATCTCTGCCTTTCACCAAGGTGGAAAGTGGCTAGAGAAGGGCATAATAAACTGCAGGGACAACATTTTCTGGGTAGGACTTAGAGATTTTGCTACCAATCCAGTGTCTTGAGACAGAGGGATGGCCCAAATACCCCTCAAGCACCCTCCCATCCACCAGGATAAGGATTCAGGCTGGCTGCTCTTTGGAAATCTCTCCAGGAACAAGTTGGGGGGAAACACGGGAAAGGTCGACTGACCAAATAATTTCTACACCCAAGAGCAGGGTGAGAGAGTGAGACGGGCTCACGTGCAAAGTCATTGTGCAGCCCTGGCTTCTTGATTCCTGGCATCAAAACAGAAGCTGGATTGCTCTGCCATCAGCAGTCTATTGGCAGATTATCAGACTTTAGTCAGCAACCGTGCTGGAATTAGAAAAACAGCCTTCCCTGGAAAGAGCTCCCTGTCAGAGATTCTGACAATAGGTCCCCCATCCAGAAAGAGGAAGCGGGAGCGGGCCTTGAGAAAAAGTGCTGGAGAGGTTCTGGAACAAAAACACAATTCTTTGAGCTCAGTTATCCGAGATGGGACCCAGCTGAAGCTTAGGGATTTAGCACTCAGTTCGTGGCCGCTTACGTTTATGTGTAAATAAATCATTTCATCTGCTGTTTGGCAATAAAGAATGCCTTAAATCTCAGCTTTTATGATTTGTCAGTTTTCTGCTAAAGAACCCATGGCTGGGGTCAGAGCCGGGGATGGAAGACAGGTTCCGGGGAAGAACGATGTGGTGGTGCTCTCACCCCACTTTCCAGCAAGCCCCTCTGCCCAGTATCCCTGCCCGCTCTCCCAAGCTAACACTCGCCAGATATCTAAAGAGCCCTTGAGGTGGTGTCAGGGGAGCCCTTTGTGGGTGGCCTCATGGAATAAACCTTCCCTGTTCTTGTGGCCTCTCATGAATTAGACTCATTTTTGTTTTGCAGGGCCCTAGACCCCATCCCAAGGCCCTAGACCCCATCTCAAGGCCCTAGCCCCCATCCCAAGGCCCTAGACCCCATCCCAAGGCCCTAGCCCCTCTGTTCATGGCCCCCATGTCCCCCTTCATACCTGTGTATTTGCTGACCCCAGCCTCAGCAGCCACATCTCTGAGTGCCAGGATTCCCCGAGAGGGGTCACTGGCCTCAGGGTCCATTTCAATGAGGGCATCTGGCCCCACATTACCGTAGGCATAATTGGCAATGTAGATCGAGTAGCGTCCAGAGCCCTGAGGAGGAAGGGAAGGAGACTGGTGAGGAGGCCCATCCTAACCCACTCCGGCTTTCCCCAGAAACCACCCTACACCCAGGATCATAGCTTAGGCTTTTCTCCAGGTCTGCTGCCAATGGCCTTGTGGGCTGTGCTGGCTACAACCGCGGGGAGCTTTTCACAAAGGTTGCAATATGAATGACAACCACTCCCTCCAGTTGGACAACAAAGCAGCCCTGCTTCTCCTTCTATCCTGTTCCAGAAGAACACATCCCTCCCTCTTCCCCACAACCACCTTTTTATAGACAATTTTCTAATGCGCCTCCCTCCAGCTGAGCTCTCTCCAGCTGCCAGCCTGGGTAGCTGCTCAATAAATATTTGCTGATTGATTGATCTACCAATTCCCATTATTCTCAGTCTCTCTCTCTTCCATTCAAGCCCACTCCAGCCAAGATGACAAGCAAATTCCTGAGCTGGCTCCCTCTCTTCCTTCCTTCCCTGTGCTTCTTCATCTCTCTATTTTGGTAGCATGAGAGGCACAGATTTCCAGGGGTCTTCTTCCCCCTTCAATCCCCTCTTTTCTCTGTATTGCCTGAAAGAAATATTTTATTGCTTCTGCCTTGCTACTGTCTCAGTTTTTTTCTTCTCTTTGCATCCAGGAGGAGCCCTGGGCGCCAGCTCCTCTCTGCTATAGCCATGTTCCTCTGTAGTCCAAAGCACTGCTGATAAAAGCTTCTTTTCTGTCTGTTACTATAATGGTGTTATTTCTTCAGTGGAAGCCTCCTTCTTCCCGAGAGCCACGCCATTTCTAAATCAGTTTCCTAGCTTTCCTCTCACCCCTTTCATCACTTCCCTCCAGTGAATACTTCTTGAGCTTCAACTCTATGAAAGGTGCTCTTCGATAAATGACCTGAAGACAAAGTCCCTGTCCTTAGGTAGCTTTGATTCTAATTTGACAGGCAAGGCATAAATAAAAAAGAACAGATCAGGTGTGGTCAAAACTGTGGTGAATGTTTAAATTAAAAATAATATTACAGTAAAAGACACATTGTTATTAATATCCCTTAAAATACCATCCCTGTCTTCAAACACATATATTCTACAATGGTTCTTGCCACTTTCTGAAGCAGTTCTGGAAGTCCTCCTTCATGAGTATCTTTAGTTTTGCTGTTGCAGCTGTCTCCACATCTTGAATCAATTCAAAACATTTACCTTTCATGGTCATTTTGACTTTGGAGAAGGGCCTTAAATTGCAGGGTACCAGATCTAGTGAATAAGGTGGATGAAGATACAACATAATATTTGTATAAGCCTGCCTTTCCTTTGGATGGTACTGGCAATAGCTTTACCATACTTTTTTTTATCACACTTTTTTTCTGAGACAGGGTCTCACTATGTAGTTCAGGTTAGCCTTGGACTCACTATGTAGTTCAGGCTGGCCTCAAACTTGTGGTCTCCTGCCTCAGTCTCCTGAGGGCTGTGATTGCAGGTAAGGGCCACCACACCTGGCCCTTTTTATCACTTTGTAAAGATTCTCATGAAAGAGAACTTCAGCACTGCTTTAAAAAGTGGCAAGAATAATGGACTAAGGGTGTTTGAATTGAGGGGGAGTATCCTGAGGGGGATTAATGGCACTGTGTCTTTTACTCTAATAAAGTTTAAAATTTCTAAACATTTATTGTATGTTTAGAGCGTTCCTTGTAGTTGAGCTTGGGGCAACAAGATTGGGTTGTTATCCCTCCTCTTAGTCCCCCTTGCTTGCTTCCATATCTTATCCAGTGGCATCATGAGAACCCTTGTCCCACTTACCTGGTCACTGCCTTTATACCTCCTTTGGACCATTTTCTTTGGGGAAACTGATTAAGGCCACTTGAGTCAGTGAGACTGGTGGGTGAGAGCGCGGAAGGAGCTTAGGGTTTCTGGGGGTGCCCAGAAGCATCAACAATCATACAAGTGCACAGCAGAGACTATGAAGAGGGTTTCCTGGGGCACAGAAGAGATGTTCCTAACCTGGAGGCAGGCACCTCACTGTGGGAATTTCAGAAAAGGTTTTCCAAGAGGAGTCTCCACCAGGTGAAGTGGAAGGAATGAACCTTTTGGGCAGAGATGAGAAGTAGATGCACATAGGGAAAATATAAGCAGTTAGTTCACTGCTGCTCGAATGTTAAATGCAAGACAGGAAGTGTAAAGGGGCGAAGCTGGAGAAGGTTATAAAACTGTTCCTTAAAGACTTAGTTGGCCCTTCTGTTTTGGTTATCTGGGACTCTATTCTTTTACCCAGGAATCTATGCTTTACGTTTTCTTACTTAAAGTAGCAAGACCTGCAGCAGGCTTGGTGACATCAGGGAGCAGCTTAGAAATACAGAGCCCCAGGCCCAACCCTGGGCCTCCTCAGTCAGAATCTGCCTTTCATCTACAGGACTCCTAGGCAAAACTAAAGTTTGAGACGCACTGCTTTACAGCATGACTTACTGATGAAGAGAGAATTTTGAAAAGTTGTCACCCATTGCTGGAGCTTTGTGCACGTGGGTAGAATGATTGGATGCAGAATGAATGAGGGGGCCCAATGAGAAAGTGCACTGCCATGAACCATTCCTAACCCCACCAGCTGTTAGCAAGCGCCTCAACAAATGGGCAATTAAGCCTAAATGGGCTGAAATGCACTCTGCTAGAAATTAGGAGATTTATAAAATTCAGTTATACCTAGTTCCTTACTTCATTTATTGGAGTGATAAAATGGATAAACGTAGATGTGTTGTAGTTGTAGAATATTGCAGAAATTCACATGTGAACTTGACTGCAATAATTCTAAAAGGGTGAGATGATTCTGGAGGAGGGAGGATGCTTCTGGAGCAGTGTGCAATGATTTTCACGCTGTAGCCTATATCAGAACCACTCTGAAGCCCTGTGAAAACACAGATGCTGGCCCAATCCCTAGATCTCTGGGTTCGGTGGCACTGGGCGGGGGGACCTCAAGAATGTGCATTCCTAACAAGTTCCCTTGAAGTTGACGTTGCTGGTGGAGACACTCCACTTTGGGAACCACTGGTCTAGGTCAATTACCCTTGTCCAAGTCCAGCCTCAGCCCCTAGCTAGCTCTGTGTCCTCAGGCACATCCCTCACTGTTTGCAGGCTGTGTCTCTGCACACGTTAAATGGGCTCAGATCCCCCCTGCTTCCTGGCAGAGTTGTTGAGAAGATGAAATGAGACAATGTATGTGAAAGGTCTTTGGAAAGATAAAAATGCTATATAAACATGAGGCATAATCATTATCGACCAGGGAACGCTTCTTGTAAGAGATCGGCTTTGAGTCAGATCCAGAAAGGTGAGTGATGAGGGAACTGAAGATAGAGGACCGGCAGGTCTTCCAGGTTCAGAGCAGAGAGCGAACGAGGGGCAGAAGGGAGAGGGGGGCACTGACGGTGGCAGGGGCTGGGACATTTGCCTGGTGCTGCTGTCAAAGTCCAGCAGATGTCACAATCACCTGCAGGGCAAACTGAACCCAGGTGGCTGGGCCCCGCCCCTGAAGCTTTAGATTCAGTGGGTTTGGAAGGCACCGTGGGGCAGGGCCTACGAATCCTCACTTCTAACAGTGCTGACGCCTCTGGTCGTGGGACCACACTTTGAGAACCACTGACAAGGCAGAGAGACGAAAGCCTGAGGCACTGGCTGTGGGGCTAAGGGAGGAAGGGTAGAGTGAATGATATAATAGACTCTGTAGTTAGAAACCTACGGCATATCACGTCATCCAGAGGCAGGGTAGCAGAGGGGCAAACAGTTGTGTGCTTCATTTTAGGCAAGCAGGGTTTAATTCCTCACTTTGCCTGCCACTTCCTGTGTGATCAAGGTCAAGTTGCTTAATCGCTCCAAGCCTTAGTTTTCTCTTTTTTTTTAATTTATTTTTTGGTACTGGGAATTGAACTCACAACCTCATGCTTGCCAGGCAGGTGCTGTGGTGCTAAGCTATATCCTAGGCTACCCTTAGTTTTCATAGCTGTAAAGTGGGACAATGATAGTCTCTACCTCATAGGGTGACTATAAGGATTCATAAGATGAGGTCTGTAGCCCTTGGTGCAGAGTGTGGTGCTTGATTAGTTGGACAATCTAATGTGAGGTGTTTTCATTTTGTATTTCAATCCTGCCACTCAGCGTCCCCTCTGGCTTTGGGCTCTCCCCATATCTCCCTCACAGTTCCTGGCCCCCAAGGGGGGACTGCCAAGGGGGTGGCTGGACTGGAAAAGCAATTCCTTGCCTGGTGGCAGACTGTCTGTAGGGCTTGCTAGTTCCTGGCGGATTGGGAGGCTGGACTTGGGCTGAGCAGGAAGCAGGCAGCTTCTGAAGGCTACCCACTGTGTCCTGGTGCCAGGCTGTCTTCTTTTTTAAAAAAATTTTACATGGTGTCTTTGTCCTGTGGTTAAATGTGTGGGTGAGCAATGACCTTGTTAGGGCAAAGAGCGCGTCTGTATGGTTAAGCTTCACGCCTCTCCTTTAGTTTTTAGAGAAGTTTCCCACTTGAGCCAGTATGGAAGCTTGATGCTGGCTTAGGCAGGAGAAGCCAGGAAGAGAGGGGAAGAAGCTCTGAGCTGCGGCCAGGCCTGACGCCTCTCGCCCCCCACTCTCCAGGCTCTTTCCAGAGCTGCCTCCCGTTGCCTCCCATGAAGAAGAAGTCCAGGTGGCACAGATTCAGGTCAGGGCTAAATGTGGCTTCACAGCCCAGCTTGGCTTCTCCTCTCAGCACCAGCTTGTTAAGAAATAAATATTTATACCTGGCACCTGCTTTCTCCCAAGGCCTGCAGGCCCCTTCTGTGAAGATTCACGCTGAATCTCCAATCCCTTTGGTGCCATCTCAATCCAAAGTGAGCCCCACCTTGCCCCATCCCAGAATGGAGGCCAGAGATGATCCCTCGGGAGCAGGGCAGCAGCTGGACCCCTGATGCAGTGATGACTGTTTGTAAAGTCATGGAGGTAAGTGGCAGGGGAGCAGGTGACAGAGGGATAAATTTCCTCCACAGTGGGACCTGGTGGGACACAAGCCCGGGGCACCCCTCACCTGCAACACAGGGCAGATGGCTGTAGCTGCTTTGGCCCTCCAGGTTAGCCAGACTTCTCGTCCACTCTGGGCTGGCACCTGTGGGTGGGGGCACTCGCCGTACCCAGGGATGTTGATGGAGTCACTGATGAATTCAAGTTCTTCTGTGTTTAGAAAACTACGATTGTCCCCATGAGTCCTCTGCTGTGCCTCCACGTATTCCATAAACATTTACAGAGGCCCCCACGGCTCAGTGCCTGGCACACGGGAGGTACTTACTAAATGTTAATGTAAATCAGTGAGCTCAAGATTTAGAGCTAGGGGATTCTGCTTCATGTCCTAGCCACAGCAACAATCTAGTCTGGGTTCCAAGTAAGTCACTGCTCCCAGTGGTGCCTCAGTCCCCTCAAGTGTCCAGTGGACTGAGGGAGACAGTGATGACATCCCTGGCCGCTTCCTCACAGGTCGCTGGTAGGGTCACATGGGAGAAAGGATGTGCAAGGCACATCGTAACTCATCCCGAGAGTCCTAGTTGTTTGTATTTAGTACCTTCTGTCACCATTCTGTCAGGGGACATCAACCTGGCAGCACCTCCCCTGGCTCTTCTGTCATTTTGTGCCCTTTACTTCTTTCTGGGCCCCTGTACTCACCGTTCTGTCCACACATGCCACGGAGCGTCCTGCAAAAAGGCTGGCTACACCGCGGGCCACGTTGACCTCGTCACTCAGGATGTCTTCCCACCGGTTATTGCGGAACTTGAACAACTTGTCCGTATATGTGGCCACCCCTGCAGGGAGAGGGAAAAGAGGGCTAGTGAGCAGTGGTCAGGGTTCAGGTTCTGACCTTTGGGTAGGTCCCCTAGCACCTGCCACAAGGTGGCTGGGACCAAAGTGGATGGGCCATCAGCAGGAAGACCTCAAGCAGCTGAGCTTCCTCTCTGTTTGGGATACTCAAATGTTTCCAGTGGCAAACTGGACTCTGGCTGGTTCAGAGAAGAGGCAGTAGGTTAGGCTGAGGGAGACAGTGTGGGATAGTGGTTACAAACTTGGGGTTTTGAGTAAATGAGCCTAAGTACCAATTTTAGTTCTACCCAGATTCTCCTAGGTTCCAGACTTTGGGCAAGTTGCTTAGCATGTCTGAGCTTCAGTTTTCTTATTTGTAATGGGAATGGCAATGACAACTACGTTCAAGTTTACTGCAAGGGATAAATGAGATGACACACATTAAAGGTTTGGCACAGTGTCCCCTCCCCCTCGGTAGCTACTATTAGGCAGAAATGACTTTCCCATTTTGTAGACAAACTACTCTCCAAGGTGCTTCCTTTAGAGACACCAGTTCTGCAGTGCAGGGGGTTGGAGAGAGCAAGCGATTCTGTGAGTGTACGTGAGAGTGTGTGTGTGACTGTGTGAGCAGGCCAGTGAGCATGCAGCTGAGGGTGCAAGAGTGGAAATGCACGAGGGAATGTGTGAAAGCAGGTAAGTGGTGTGGGAGAGTGTCAGAATGTGTGTGGGAATGAGTGTGAGTATGGGAGGTGAGTACAAGTGTGTGTGTGTGTGTGTGTGTGTGTGTGTGAGAGAGAGAGAGAGAGAGGGAGGGAGGGAGGGAGGGAGAGAGAGAGAGAGAGAGAGGGAGGGAGGGAGGGAGGGAGAGAGAGAGAGAAAGAGAGGGAGGGAGGGAGGGAGGGAGAGAGAGAGAACGCTGTGTGCAAACAACCCCCAGGTGGCTCAGTCCAGGAAAGGATGAAAAGTTTGATCTCTGGGGGGCCTTGTCTGAGACCTCCTGAGACCAGGGGACCCATGGAACTGCAGTATCATAGGTGGGGTCAGGGATGCAGGCTGGACACAGGGAGCTGGTGCCTGGGGCGGAGCCATCCTGTCTCTGTCTGTCTCTGCCTGACCCTTGGCGCTGAGGCCCTAAGCATCCATGGAGGGAAGGTCACTCACCAAGCAGGTGTGGGAGCTCTGTGGGGTGTGTGTGCATGGGGGGTAGGTTTCTGTGGAGCCACAGAAACAGGTCTGCACAGAGCTGATGCGGCCTGAGAGGGATGCTCTAGACGATACTGAGGTACTGGTAAGTTCTTTATCTGCTTCCAGCCTTGGTTTTCTCACCTGGGAATTGTGGATGATATCCATGCCTTGTTCACAATGTTGTTGTGGGAATCACCTGGAAAAACACCTATGACCCTGATCTCAGTCTGGCCAGGTAGTAGAGCAGTGACAGCTTTGCGACACTGCAGGACCATAGCCTCTCACCGACATCCCTCAGGGCCCGCTGTGTTTACAAATTTAGATTTTTTTCTCCATGTTTTACAAGGTAGCACAGTATACATACCATTGATTATATAACACCCCAGCAGGGGCTGGGAGTGGCACCCCATAATTAAACACATTAATATTTCTGCAGTGAAACATGAATATTCACATCAAGTAGGATAAATAAAGCTTATAAATAGCTCATATCAGCTCAGGACAAGTTTTGTTATCCACTGAATTTCCCACAAACTTAAAGAAAAAGCACTCGAGGCTTCCAGAGAATTTTGGGTTCCAGGACTGGGGAGAAGGGACTTGGGCTTTGACAGCCGTTATGGTGGTTGCAGAGGCAGCAGCTGGCTTGCCGTCACTTCCCGGTGTCTGGGGGCCACTGAAGACAGCTCCTGCAGGCTCTTGGTTCTCCAGCCTTCACCAACAGCAAGCAACCTTTGCCCATCTCTGTCAACTCAGGGCCCCCTTAGCCAGCAAGGTCCCTGCCTAAATGCCTTGGTTACATTCCAGCAGAGCTGGGCCAGGTGAGCAATTGGAACCTGTGGAGCTCTGATGAGCACCTCTGGATTCAGTGCGAGTAACTTCGGAAGATGCCAAGATCCTGCCTCAGCTAGAGGAGATGAGAAAACAGGTCAGAGGGCCTCTGTACCTCGTTTACCTCATTGTCCTCAATTCCTGCTGTCAAGCTAGGGCAGCGTTTCTAAAAGGGTGATTTGTGGGACCCTGGTCTCTGTGCACTGCCTGGAGAAAGGACTCCACGTTCATCTGAGCTTGGGGAAGCTTTTCAGTTGCCCAACTCTTGGAGACTCTCCATAGACATCAAAGTCTATTAAAACTTTGAAAAGTCCTGCAGTAAATTATTGAGACCAGCCTTTCCCAAACACACTTGGTCAGGGAACCCCACCTTGAAGACCATCTATTAATACCCTACAGAGCCAGCACTGTTCTTAGAAAGTTGCTACTTTAGGGAGCTGGTGTCTGAGCAGACTCTGGGCTCTGTCCTGGGAGGAGTCTGGGTGCCATGTGCTCTTGGCCTCTCCCCTTGCCAGCCTCTTGGCTTCTGAGCTCACCAGGGATGCCCAGAAGAATAAACTAATTAAGGTAAAATGTGCAACAGCGGTGCACAGCCTTGTAGATCATAAATGGGAACGGTAAAATCAATGGCAGCCCTTCTGCAGGCAGAGGCCCGGAGGCCTGGGCGACAGGAGGGATGGGAGCCCGTGATTTAGGAAGAGCAAACGCGCTGGCAGCTGCAACCTGGGTAATTAGGTGTGTCAGGAAGACAGATAAACAGCGAGCTGTGTGGGTCGATGGCACAGGCAATAAACACCCAGCACTGGCCCCTGGCCCGTGTCAGCGCAGAAGGCTGCCTCCTGGCTCCATGTAGCTGCACTCTGCCCTGAGGTCCTTCGCTGAGGTGGGGGCAGCTGTACCGGAAGGAGAGACTGTGAGGTAGCGTACAGCAGGACTCCCTTGAGTCCCTGGCGGAGACTCTGAGAGGGCACAGGTCCAAGAGAAACAGGAGAGTGTTCAGGGGCAGGGCACGGGGGCCTCTGGAGGTCACAGGCCTGTGAGACGCAAATCTGGGAATTCCTGCTCTCACCTTGATTCTGGAGTCTTGGTATTCGAAGAGCCCTGAAGGCCCCAAATCCAGTGGGACCATCACTTGCTGGGGGTGGCCAGTGGGAAGGCTTGGTGGGCGGAGTTCAGGCATCACTAGCACTGCCAAGTGCCTTGCACGAGGCCAGTGCTGTGTGAGGCCACAGAGAAGCTGGGCCTGTGTCCCTGACCCAGGATTCTTATGGTCTGTCGGGAACATAGGGGTGAGGAAAGGAGATGCCTTGGAATGGTGGTCAAACTAAGAATCTTTAACACTTCTTCCCCCTTCCCCATATTGGGAGGTTGAACCTAGGACCTTCACATTGAGCTACATCCTCACTCCTGCCTAACATTTTAAATTCTGAGAGAGGGTCCTGCTAAGTTCCTGAGTTGCCTAGGCTGGGCTGGAACTTGAGATCTTCTTGCCTCAGCCTCCTAGAGTTTGAGATTACAGGTATGTGCCACCACACCCAGCACATGGCACTTTCTATTTTGGGACTTGAAGGGTCTAAGTGACAACTCCCGGGTATACAGCACTTAGTGTGGCCATGCTCTATCTGCAATACTTTCATTTCTTTCCGATTCTTTGATTCTCTTTTCTGTTCTTTTTCCTTCCTTCCTCCCTTTCTTTCTCTTTCTTTTTTTCAACAATCATCCCATCTAAGCCCAGAATCCCATTTCACAGATACAGAAATTGAGGAGTACAGAGGTTAAGTCAATTGCTCAAGATCACAGAGCAGGTAAAAGGAGACAGATTCAAAGTCAGATCTTTGTGACTCCAAAGCCTACACAGCACGGTTCCCTACAGCTTAAGGAGGTAGGCGGTGAGAAGCAGGCACAGAGGGGATCCTGAGTTTGCCCAGAGGGTGTTACAGGTGGAGGAACAGAAATAAGGCAGAGCAGGCGACTCAGTAATCCCAGGACTGAAGCTGAAGGGGCCATTGTGGCTTCTGGTCTCGGGAACGTCAGGGGACAGTGTTCGCAGAAGGTGAAGTCGGCAGCGGGGTGAGCAGTGGGTGTGTTGGCAAGGACAAAATGCACTGGGTGGATCTGGTAGGCGCTCAGGCCTGATGTGTGTGGCAGTAATGGGAGTGGGAGGAAGTTCTGCATGCAGGAGGGACTGGCTGGGAATGGCAGTGGAACATAAGGGGGACAGTGACTCAAGCACAGGCTCTGGGCCAGCTGTGTGTGTAAGAGTGCATATATGCGGCGGGGTGGGGGGCATAGCTCGGCTTCAGATAGTTCGTGTTTGAGGCGGTTATAAAGTGGTCAAGAATGCAAGTCTAGGAGGTCACTGGTTATAACGGACAGCAGGTTGCAGAGCAGAGGCTGAGGCAGGGGAGAGAAGACCAGGTTGTATATTCTGTCCCCAGAGCAGCTTCATTTAGGGCACAGGAGGAAGGAAAGGGAACAGAGAAAGAGGAGCCCTCAGACAAGGGAAAGGGTCTCCTTCAAGACGCTTGGAGCAATGGTGTCAAATCAGGGAAATGGTGCTCGATTTAACACCCCAACACCCTTGTACAGCCAGCTCTGCCCCCAGAGGGTGCTCTGCACCACTGGGAGGGAGAGTAAGCGCTGCAAAGGACTCTTACTAGCCACTGCCTGTTGTGCCTTCTCCCCCAGGGTCTGTCCCACCCTGGGAGGGGATTCAGGCTGTGGATGACACTAGGAGCAGAGAAGAGTGAGCAGGGGTGTGTGAGGGGGCAGAGGCTTAAGCCCCAACCTTATTCTGTGGCACAGAGATTACTACTAAACAGCAGGGGGCAGGCAGCCAGCAGCATCCCTTCCCGGGTGGACCTTGGGCAAGTCATGCACTTGCCGTTATCTGATCTGTAAAGTGGGATAATGAGAATGGCCACCTGTTCCGTGAGCATTAAGTTAGTGTATGTGAAATACTTGGAACAATGCCTGGCACACAATAAGCAAC